CTCTGAATAGGCTTTTCAGTGTGAGTGTGCCTTTTAGAATGAAGAAACTGTATACAAAGTGGGATAAGTGCCGTGGACCAGAATACAGAAAGGTTAAAATTTGGCTTTGTTAAATAGTGTAGGATGAATTGTCCAGCTGAGGGGCAGGAAACTACCCACAAGCTCAAAGCTAGACAGGAAGGAAGATGTGCAATGTGTCTGAGTGTTTTAGGTCAGTTACAGCTATGCTACTGAGGGTGCATAAGAAACAGCATACAAAATGAAACAGCCCTGGGACCAAATTGTCCCTTGACAAACACCCCCTCAACCCTGTTACCTTCAAGGGATTGCATGGAGTGGCATCAGGGCAGATTGTGGCCCTATTCCAATTTTATTACATTCTTAACCTTAAGGAACACACTCAGAAAGCCAGAATTTAGATTACAGTTTATTTAATGAAAACTACAAAAGATAACTTGCCTCTTTAAAAGTCAGGCAGTCAAGTCACAGTTTGTGATAGAAAAGGAAGGCGTTGCTTTTTTTTTCTTCTTCTTCTTGGCTTTTTTTCGGGGGGTCCTACCACAAAATGAAAACGTTCCTTATGCGACTTCGGCAGGATTAATAAATAACATTCCAAGTCCCTCCAGAAACTAGCCCTCGAGATGCGTGGAAAGGCTTGTAAACAGTTTTCTCTTCTGGTACAGTGCATCCTTTTTTAATTCCAATTTGAAAACTTATTTACTACATCCTTGCAAAGAGACAGACTGGCAAACCACCCTGTTCAACCTGTAAGGAGAGCTGTGGTTTAAACTAGTATAAAGCGCAACGTTCACAGTTTGTGATAGCCCTGCCTTGCTGTATGACTCCATCCTGTGTTCCAGTTTTTGTCCAAATGCACTCATACACACATCTCTCGCTTGCATTAATTCATCACCCTGCGATAACAACTGTTTGGTACATTTAGCACATATTTTTGCAGTTTAAAAGAAATTTGGCTTACACACCCGCGCATGTGCACACACACACACACAAAGCTGACCGTACCACGGTGCTTACGCTGTCAACATTTTACCAGAACATTTCTAAAACTAAATCTGTTAATTCAGCCACTAACAGTTTTGAGCCCGCACAGCGTAGCTGTGGGAGATGCTTCACATAAGCACAAGGTAAAAAGAGATGAGCAGGACAAGGATTGCCAGGAAACCTCATCCTTCATTAAGGAGAATGCTGCTGCATAGCTAGAGTGAGGCTTGGGTAAACCCTCTAGTAGTATTAGGACGACACTTACATTCAGGTCTCTGCTTAGCCCCACCCCATGTTCACCCATGCGCAACTGAGAGTGAATGGGCCGGGGCCCTCACTCTGATGAGTTATGCCTGAAGCCCCTTACCTGCACTCATACAAAGGCACGTAACTAGCTTTCATACTGGGCCACAACTTGCAGGATCAAGGCCTAATCTGTTTTCCCTACAGTATTGTTCTGATTACACTTTCAAATTAGTATACAAACAAAAAATTAACTTAAAAGTGCTGGCCCCCGTTTTAAATAAAAGAGTAACAATCACTCTTTCAGGACTCATACTTTAAAACATTTGCCAGGCTGCTTTAAAACTGTTACAAACTACAGAAGTCAGTTTAACTGCCTCACTGTGGAAATTAGTAGTTAAGGCAAAGAACCAAATGTTTTTAAAAATATATAAATTGTAAAAGAAAAGGTGTTTTTTTTTTTTTAAAAAAGAGAGAGAGAGACAGTTCGCATGCTACAATATGAACAAAATTCAATTGCACCACATAATCTGTGAAGGTCTGATGCAAAGCCCACTGGAGTCTTTCCATTGGTTGCAATGGATCAGTCCTAAAAGCTTGATTCTGAAAGGTGCCAGAGCACTCAGAGCATCTTTTGAGTTCAAGATCAGCCCTTAAGTAAAACTGGAATTTCCTACACTGTGGCTTAGTCTGTTCTCATGACACATTTTTGTTCACTGTTAAATCAGAAGTTTGGTCCCACCTAGGAATATTTCAATAGACCTAATCGTCCATGCAATGGGAGCTCCCTTCCCCACAAGGCAACTCACCTACAGCTGTTCAAATTATGGAAACAGCTGGTAGAAGAGAACAATGTTATAGTCCGGAAGGGCTGAAGTCACAATGCATGCTGGGAGAGAGCCTAAATAATAGCTGCCCAAGGAATGTAGGTCCATCAGTTCCTCCAAGTGCAGTGTGAAGCCCCATCTGCTGAATTTAGATCCCTGAGTTGTATGACTTCAGCTATCCATAGCTGGTGAGGTTTTAACCCAGCTTTATGCTCAGATCATACAAAAATGGTGGGGAAGTAGCAAACATTGTTTTAGGACACACTTAAAAGGCGGCAAGTTAATGTTTTTGGCATTGCTCTATCCAAAACAAGGAATGCTTTCATTTGACAGCATCTAGCATTCCATTCATCTGACCTATTGGCAACCGCATTTGCTAGTTCCTACACAATTATGGCCTCCCCTAGTTAATTTCAGGTGGCTGTAATGGAGGACAAGGGGAACTACTTTCTCCTTGCCTCAGATTATTGCATGCGCCAGCGATGCTGACCCTTCCACCTTCTGGGACACCATCCTCGTTGTATAGGTGCCTGAATCCATCATAGAACTCATCTGTCTCCATGCTGTCTTCATGAATTTTGACGGAAGTAGGTGTGAAAGTTGCTGGAACTGGCTGACTCACAGTGACCCTTGAACTAATTTGACTTGAATTCTTCCATTCAGAATAACAGTAGGGTAACTTTTCCTCTGGATGGGCTTGGATGGCTTGGTTGGCAGGATTAAAGATATAAACAGCATTGGATGGTTGTAAATGCATTAGCTGCTGATCCACAAGCTCTTTACAATGGATGAATTTGACGCTACTAACCTGCAATGAAAGATACAGAACCATTTTTCTCCAGTTTGTTAAATTATTCTGTCCTCTGGTGAAAGCTTTAATTGACATGCAATTCTAAGTAAGCTCAGTGAAAGGAAAAAACCAATATCAAATTTTCCAGTATTCAAGGCTTATAATAATAGCTTAGCATTTATAGAGCTTCTCATCAGTAGATCTCCAGAATTTTACAAAAGGTGGGTGAAAATCATTATCCCAATGTTACTGACGAGGAAACTAGGATGTAGGGGGTTCAGTCACTGACGAGCCCACGGTCACATGATGAGCAAATGGCAAAGTTAAGAACAGATTCTAGGTTTTTTGACTCCCAGACTACCTCCATACTCACTGCACATGTTCTTAATGAGCACATGTGTTCTGTAAATAAGAGAAAATGTCTCCATTTCAAGACAAACAGAAATGCCCAGGAGGTAGGGTGTGGCCTTCATCTATCCATATGTTCAACAGACTGTTTTTAGCTGAAGTAAATGCACTGAAAGATCCTGGCATTCCTAAATCATATAAACGAGCAGATTTTCAATCCTGCTCAGCACCCAGCAGTTCCCATTGAGAACAATGAAGAACCTCCTCCTCTTTGAGAGCAAATGAGCACTGAAATGTCTCGAAAACTGGGTCTAATGTGATTGACCCACCTTTCACAATAAAAGACCCCTGTAACGAAATGCAGTGCACTCTTTCCTCCAGGAGTACCTAACTCCTATTAACACTAAGGGGGTTGGTATCAAAGGGAGAACAGACCCTGACATATACATGCACTCCTGAGAAGTACATTAAAAACGTGCAATGTTGGTTGTAAATACGCCGCAAGCTTTATTCATTTATCTGTGCGCTGGCCTCAAATTTGTGGTTTGAGGCCATTTTGACTCCTACCTGTGCTTTTTTTAGCAGATCAGTAATAACAGGAAACCAGTCAGGAGTCAGCCTCTCCAACTCTAAGGTGATGATCACCAAAGCCAATGTGGAGCCCTTAAACTGCAATAGTTGGTGGCATGCCATACAGTGCTGTAGCTGTTTGGTCAAGAACGCAACATGGCGGGAAGGATTCATCTGAGGCAGCCCATTTAGTAGATGGGGCCAGTTGGACATCACCATGGCATGGAACTGGAGAGAAGATAAATATATACATACATATATATATAAAAAAAGCAGAGGTCAACAGTGAACTTTGTACGTTTCATATGTTATTGACCAGAAGTGCAAACTAATTTCAATCCACATCAGGAAGTGTAGAAATATTTTCCCTGTTACCATGTGTTACTTGGTTTGTGTTGTACTTGCCAACCATCAAACTGTTTTAAAGCTTATAATGAATGTAAAAGGTCTGTGTTTTCTAACAAATTCTGAAGTCACTGCATTATCCTGATTGCCAACAAAAGACAAGTGGTATTCAGGCCAGCAGATAGGAGTAAATTCAGTTGTAATGCTTCTGTTTCCTCAGTAAATTCATAGTCCAAGCACCTGGCTATGATAGGTGGTTTTCAAACAATCAGCAGCTTAATATGGTTTAAATATCCATCCATTACCATAAAAAGAGAGCCCAGGGTATGTTCATAACATGTAATTTTTGCCTTATAAACACATGATCATTTATTTAAGAAAAGTGTAATTGTTTCTATGAAGTGTTTAGCAAATAATGTGACTAAGTGCCAGATCCGTATGGTCTAATTGCCCAAAACTGTGGTCAAGTTTCAGTGGGGGGCAAAAGACGGTTTGAGAGGACCTGTGTGTGAAATGTAGCAAAAATTCTGACAGCTTTGTATGTACAGTATTAATAGAATGGAAATAGTTAGAAATATTTTTGCAGTGTGTATTTAAAAAAATAGAAATAAAAATGGAGTACAGTTGTGCAGTACAGGAATCTTTTTAAAGTCCATTTTAGTTGTCCTTTAAAAATGGGGGTCTGGTTGAATAATTTTTAAACAAAAATTAAAGCTTTTGACTAGCAGTGTTTAAAAGAAATCGACATTTTGCACTGTAACATTCTTCAAAAGACTTGCAGATAGCTAAGAATGTGTGGCTTAAAAGTCACTGTGGAGGGGGGTGGTGAGCGCACGTGCATCTGTGTTTTCTAGTCTTATTTGGTAAAAGAGCTGTTTCCTTAAACGAGAAACAAAACTGGTTTAGACTTTTGCAAAATTCTTAGTGCTTACAATGTTTAAGAAATCCATAGGTGTAGCTGTGTAAAGATCCCAGTGAAGCTTATCTAGTATAATTCTTTCCATTCTCAAAATCTCAGCTGGAGAGCATTTACAACCACTCTGCACTGCAAGCTTCTTCACTGATGGTATTACCTGTGAAAATTGAAAAGAATAATAATAATAAAGAAGCCACCTTACTACACAACGTTGTGCGCGACCTTTTGTTGTCTGTGCATGCAAAGGGATCTGATTAACACATGGGTGCCTTGAGGAGCCAAGAATTGTTTAAATTCAGGTTACCCGATTTCTAAATACCTCCTGACAACACCAAGAGGGAATGTGACCCTGTTTAATATGAAATTCGAGATTCAAGAGCACTGCTTCCCCAGCCTTATTATTTTGCTGTTGTGACGGTCTCTCTGAAGCCTCCTGCTAGCCTGTTTCTCGGTGCTTTTTCTTTATTTGTGGTTATCTTATTTCCTGTGACCAATGACTCAACTTCTCCTGTACACTGGGAAAATATTGCAAAGCACAACCTTACGGTATGTATTGTGTGAAGGCTTATGAGCATCTCTGCAGAGCATTTCAAGGATGTTGACATGTTCAAGGAGAAACACACTTCTGACTCCAGCATTTACAATACCGAGTTCTTCTACTTCATGACCTTTAAAAAGGCCTTGAGCCCAGAGCTCTTCTCCTTTCATTACAGTTTGAAAAATAAAAGCTTTGGCCACATTTAGATAACGAAGAGGAGAGGATGCAGTCTATGCTCTTGAAAGGCAATTTTGAGCTATTATTACAAGCCTTCAATTTTTTTTTTTAATCTCCAAATTTGAAATGGAACTAGTCCAAAACGGTTTACATGATTTTTGAGGTGTGCTTTCAAAATGCTGCAAGAGGTTTTAGCCACATGATTATAACTGGGTAATTATCTCACAGAGATTATCTCTTTTCAGGTAAGCAGTTGCTGATTTAAGTGTTTAATGAATGGACTGGGAACCAACCAATGTTTGAGTTATCTGCTCCAAACTTAATTGGATAGAAGTCAAGCCACATCTTCTACCTTCAGGAAAATACATACCTTCTAACCTTCCTTTGAAGAACTATTACCCTGTCTTGGCTTCCTTAATCTCCCAATTTCCCACCACTGCAGCACAAGTGAAGGACAGAGCTTTAATAATATACATCTTTCATTCAAGGGACTCATTACACTTTCCAAATGATGGTTAAGTAATATCAAGACAAGACAAGTGTTATTGTTCCCACCTTACAGGTTAGCTAACCAAAGGACAAAGAGGATAAATTGGTAAAAGCCTGGAAACATGAATGACTTCCAAGAATGACCAGAAGTTGATTTACTGTATTTAAATAAAACATACAGACCTCATCTTCTTCATTGGTTTTTGCTGCAAGGACGAGGCAGGTAACTGCTATGCACCGAAGGTATTTTACTTGTGCCTGCAGGGGAAAGAGCAAAACACTGAGCACAGAAGACAACGTTCTAGATGAAAACAAACAATGGTCATTCAGACAGAGAGGCCCAAGTCTTCACCTTTAGTTTGCATTAAAACTACTTTCACCTAAATTGAAGTTCCTATTAGTAAAGGATAATTTGATGCTCAAACAAAGCAAAGACATGAAAAATTACAATGGAAGGAATCCCCTCCTGAGTGCAGGTATCACGGCATTCCGTTCTTAGATCATGCAATACAGTCAGCCCTAACCTGCAGTGCTACCAGTCAGAATGTGATGATTCCATTTATTTATTGTAAATTGGTGGGTACTGTATACTAGACTTGAACCTTTGCCTGATGCCGATTATGACTCTGAGTAATAATACATAAGATAGGGTCCTGTCCTGTTGACACCAAAGCCAATGAGAAATTTTGCCACTGATTCCAAAGGCAGAGCCATCAGGCCCGTAGTTTGTGTAAAATAGTGGTGAAACGTAGTTGCACGAACACAAAGTCTTCATGTTTATAACTACATTTGAACTATAATTCAGGTGGAATCCCTATTTAGGACAGCACTCAAGTATGTGCTTAAATTAAGCTCCTACTTATGTCCTACTGACTTAAAGTTTAACACATGCCAGGGCCTTGATTGCTATCTGAGTTCTGTGCTTTCTAGAGGTTCACTATCGGAGTGATTCCGAAATACCTACAGTCCAGCTAGATTTGTGTACAAACTGAATCCTAATTAAATATTCGCGGCAGCCCTGGTTAATAATAAAATCATAAAAGAAAGCTTCCAAAGAGAATCTCTACCTTTACTGATGCCAAAAACCGGTTAAGAATGTTGATAGCCAAGGCAAACGTTTCAGAGTAAAATTGGAACTGGGAGCTCAATTCTGCAATCCAGAGAACTGCTTTCTCATAATGTGATGGAGAGAGATCTGTCCCCTGAGATGGAGGAAGAAAGTTAAAACACAATTGGTGATTTGTTAAACACCACACTTACTTTGGAGGAATAGAATTTAAAAACCCATCTGTTTAAATGCTCTAATCAACAGCTCAGTTATACTCTTAGTCCAACAGTAGAGATCATCTTGAGGGCTTGAGCTGATTTGTACATCTACAGGTTCTTTGTGCAGCTCCTTGTCTCTCAAATTTGCTCTATCCCTGGACTGGATAGAAGCCAAGTTTGCTACCATAGAGGACATGCCGCAAAACCTATCTACCTACAGAGGCTTTTCTTCTGAGGACATGTTCTGAGGAGAGGACAGACTAAAATAAGTCTTGTTGACATTGTATTATTGTAAGTGATTTATGGTATGCATTTAAATGTTAATATAAAAGCAACCAGAGCTGTGTCATAGGCACAAAGTATAAATTAGGGGATGATTCAGATAACAATGTCCACCATTAACTTGTATTATATTGATCTCAAATTATCCATTCAGATGATAGTGCCCGGTTCATTAATAAAATAAATACTAATACCTTGCACTTATCTAGCACTTCCATTAGATTGTGAAGAGACGGGACATAGCCTGAAATGCTTTTCAAGGGCAATTTTGCACTTTGATTTCAAAGCACTTTACAAATGTGGTAAGCATTATTATCCCCATATGACAAACAGAAAAACTGAGCGAAGTTAAGTGGCTTCCCTAGGTAACAGAGTGAGCCAATGGCAGAGCCAGGAACAGAATTTAGTTTCCTGACTCCTAATCATTAGATCACAGAGCATCCTCTCTTACTCTCATCTCAGTGAAATTGGAGGGTGGGGAATAAAAAGTGATCAAGCACTGTAGATTTTAGGACTACTTATGTATATGACCTATTTAACACCAAATAAACACAATCCCCTGTCATCTGATTGCCACTCCCAGGTTCTCATTTATGCAAGGATATTCTCTAAATTTTATTTTGGATCAACTGTGTTTTCGATATTGTGCATCTTGTTATACTAAATTGAAATCTGGACAGACACAGATCCCAATCCTGGTATCTAGTCCATATGCGATGTGGACATGTGGATCGGATAGCAGAATTGGGGCTGTATTTTGCAGAAAACCTTCTGGAATCCTAATGCATTTTCATAGAGAACAGAAAAAAATACCTTCAGTGTGAAATTCCAAAAAACTGGCACCTTCCAATTCCTGGCCTCTCTTGTTAGGGCATCCTCTAGTAGGAAGGGAAGTCTCTGACACTCAGAAGATCTGGTACACTTCATGGCAACGAGTGGATGGGCCAGTTTCCCAGGCAGGCACAGCTATCTAAACCAAGGAAAACTGAAGCATTATAAAACATTATCACAACTCCTTAAAACTATATGAGGATTTTTTTCATAGTGGCTTCTTCAACTTTAAAATGTTGAGAACTAGCTAAAGAATGTCCCTGCTACTTGTCTATTGGCCAAAGATGTTAAGAGGTAGGACCCAATCTTGCTTTCATGCCAGTTCACGACAATTTTGCCATTAACTTCCACGGAAGCAGAAGCAGATCCATGATGAAAGAACCTCAGATAACTGAACAACTATGCAGCCGAAGGGCTTTTCTTCATAGACTTCATAAATGCTTGCAGTAGCCTTCTGATGGAAGACTACCTACTACTGAGCTCACGCACTCTATAAATGAAATGAGGTTCCCAACTAGCTTTAAAAAAAAAAACCTATTAACTGCTACATTAAAGGTTTTGGAAAACAGAGGCCTAAAGTTTTAATTTAAGGTAAACAGGTTCAACATCCTTTTTTGCTTTGTTTTCACACAAAACCTAAGAACAAAATTGTTTTCAATGGGTTTTATAATTCCAGGGGAAAGAGTTTTGCTTAAAACGAGATAAAACTTTGATTGCAGTGTTTGGAATCTAAACTTTACAGTCTAGTGCTAGTGACTGAGAACCTGAAATGAAACTGGTGAGTCTGTTTCCGTTAGTCAAGCAGAAAGCAATGCAAAGATGCTAAATGAAAGCTACTGAAAAATAAACTAGATTTTAAAAATTCTGTTTGTTGTTTTAATCTTGGCTGTTACTGGTAACACAGGTAAGGAAATTTGATTTTTAAAAACAAAATTTTAAACTAACAGCATTGCTTTAGAAAAATCACCACCTCTAACCAGTCAAAACAGTTAGACTTGGGTATTAAGAAATGTCAACTTCATTGTCAAGGTGAAATTAAAGATTCAGTGCCCCATGAGTAGCTGAAAAGAAAGAGCATGAGCACTGGACACAGTGTTTCACCTGTGAAACTGGGCCCAAGGTTGATTTTTACTAATTTTAAGTTCTCGATTTCTTTTCTCTATAAAGACCTGTGGACCCTGGCTTCCTCATCTTTGCTTCCCAGAAGCTCTTATCACTATTTTCAGCAGCTCAGTTAAGTATTCAAAGCCTCCATGAATCTTCTGGAAACTACTCTACATTTCCAAAGCTGAAACTCCATGACATGTTTTTCCCCTCCCCTGCTAAAGGCAAAAATAATGCACATGACTTTGGCTTTAATTAGCACTGGGTGTAAAAGAGCATCAGAACTGAAAGCCGTAACATTTAACCAAAGGGAGAGTTTGAAACAAGAACTGAAGCCAATTTAACCATAGGAGAGTTCGAAACAAGAACTGTCAGGCCACTTTCTGATACACACTTACATATCCCTGTTCCTGGTTTAAAAAAAAATTAATAACAATTAAAATTAAACAGAAGCAATTCTTAATACGGAAAAATGAATATTGGCAATATAAGTAACTATACTTCCCAAAATACTGTATGTGCAAACTTGGCACTCCAAGTGATTAACAGAAAGGATCTCTCACATTTTACATTTACAAATGATTCTTATCAAAATCCATTTGCAATCTTCTGCCTTTCCTGAAGCACCACATTATTTAAAATGACATGTTACAGAGTAATCCTGCCACAGCAGGGGAATGGATCAAATGATTCAACAGTTCATTTCCTTCTCTTGTCTTTGCCTCCTTTGTTTCCACAAAGAGGTGCAGCTGGCAACATTTACCCAAATGGCGCATGAGAATAAGAGACCTACATTTCAGACACACCATCCTCTGCACAGGGCTGACAGCAGGATGATGAGGATGGGCCTGGGTAGGCCATATAGGTCAGGAATCCCTGGCCATAACTCTGGATCCCCAATCACACTGATGAGGCAGAGCCAATCACAGGGACATGCTGTCGCACAGGGTACCCCATTCCCTGAGTGGGCTAAACCTTGGATCTGGAAGCAGCAGCAATAAGGTAAGCTTGACTATTTTTTTTTAAAACAGAAAGGAGATGGAAGCAGTGGGAGATTGACATGGTTGGGGGAAAGGTGGGTGAGAGGGGTAAGGATTGAAGAAATTAGCACCCCCTAGGAAATTCTCACCTCTCTAAACACTTGTGAGCCTAGCCAGGGTATGGAGAGAGAGATCTCCATAATCCTATCAGTCTCCAGCTGCGGGCCTCACGTTGTGTTGCCATGGCTAGCAGCCACTGCCTGTACTGTGCCACCGGCTCCCTCCGAAAACACTCAGAGCAGGGATAGCTTTAGAGCAGCATTAACAACCCCCCACCCCATTTTAACTTGGATATCAGGCCGTGGGAAGGGTAGGAGTATCTTGTACCTGTGCGCTCGTTTTCCCCCTTCGTCACACATTGGCCCAAAGTCCCCTTTATATGACAACCCCCTCAGGGGGGCTGGTTGTCACAGGGTGTTAAGATGTAGGGTGGAGGGGGGTCTCCTTGTAACTGGGCGAACCCCGTGGACTGTCCATGATTTTGATCTGGTGCCAGGGATGCCCTTAGGACCTTTTGTCACTTGACTTCTCATTGTGCTCTATCTCCCTTGTAGAGCTGATGGGGGCAAAAAATCCTGGGTCCCTGAAGTTGTCTGTTTCTCTCTCGCTCTAGTTTTTTTTTAATGCTGAAAAGGCACCAGAAGGAAGGGGAGGGGAGTGGAATTTGACTGTTGGATCTTAGTGTGAACACATCTGGGCCAGGGTTTCCTCTCCCGCTCTGTTCCCAGGCCCTTATGTTGGGAGCACAATCTGAGCCCGCGCTGGGGGGTAACTTCTGTCTGGACGCTGCACTCAGCACCCACAAAATAACCAGGCTGAGGGGCAGAGGGCAGGAGCAAGGCAGGCAGCGACTCCACCATCCCTCTTTCGTTTTCATTTCGGAAACAAAAGGGAGGGCGATCATGTGATGGGCTGGCAACTAACTACACAAGTAACCACATCACCGGCCCTGGGAGCCGGGGAGCGGCTGCCCCCCAAGTCAGGAATCTCGGGGAACGCGGTGGGGGCTGGGATCAGAGTCAGGGTACCAGCACTGGGTACCAGTGGGGCCGGCGGCGGGGGGTGGGGGGCAGTCCCGCCGAGAGCTACACCCGTGCCCGTCCCTTCCCCGGGGCTCACCTCCCTGGATCGGCCGCTGCGGGTCTCCTGGGCCGCGCGGGCAGGGCATTGGGGAGCCGCCTGCACGGTGGGGTTCAGCCCTTCACTCCGCCGCTTCCCCCCCCATTGTGTCCAGCCCCAGCTCCGGCTGCGGCAGCCTCAGCTCCAGGAAATGGCTCCGCCTGTGCAGGCAGAGGGGTCTCCCCGGATCATGCTAGAAGGGGGCTGCTGACCCCCGCCCAGCCCGCGGGGAAGACAGCCCTGCCCTGCCCCGGAGGACGAGCCGCTGGCAGGGATACCTAGCGGGGAGAACCGCTCTGTTGACAGGCTCCGGAGCCTGCGCAGCCTTTGGGGCTGGCTCTGATCGCGCCAGGCTCCGCCTCTCCCCTGCCGGGAGCTGGGCTCGCACAGATCGCCCTCCCCTGCCGGGTCCCGGGGGTGCCCAGCCCAGCAGCAGGAGGACAGCTCCCCCTCCCGGGGGCTACGTGAGCCTCCGCATGGAGCAGGCAGCTCGCCGCCCGCCCGCACGCAACTCCTCCTGCCCTGCGGCCCTGGGAACAAGCCCGCCCGGCTGGAGGCGGGATCCGGTGTCAGCCTGGCAGCCGCCTCTGCTTCTCGGACTGTCCCAGCCTCCCTGGGTACCCTGGGGGCTTTCAGCACCCGCTGTATCCAGGCCAGCGTGGCCGTCGGCCACTCACCGGCCTTTGTTTGGGCTCTCGAGAGTTGCCGTGGCAAGGATTCCTCTGCTGACGCCCGGGTCCACACTTCGGAAAACATAGCGGGCACGACTAGCAAAAAGCAAACGCGTCTGCAGGAACAAATGCGCAGTCTGGAGAGTGATCCGAGTCGTGCCACTGATGCTCAGGGTAATAAAAACGAAGCACATGTGCAAGTGTTTGCCGGATTGGGGACCTAAGTGAGTGTCTATATTTAATGTTATGTGTTACACGTTTAATAACTGTTAGTCTGTTACTGACCATACCTTCTGTTATATTAAACTGGGAACACATTTTAAACACGGCATTTGATTCTCACTGTTTATGGTCTTTTTGTTTTGTGTTTTACTCAGTCTGGAAAATAAAAACAGACTCCTCAATTCCACTTCTGTTAATAGTTTCTGGGTCTCAATTTCATTCACTAGCATAGCAGGCTCTAGCCTCTCTCTGCATCTCAGAACTGCATTCAGGTGCAGATGTCTTTCTTGACAAATAAGAGTTATATGTTGGTAGGTCTTTTGTTTTAAACCTGGTGGCTATTTAGGGTATGTAATTCCTTAACTTGGTTATACCATATATATCCACAGACGAAGACAAAACCATGTTGTAGCTGTTCACAACTTGAGTTATCCAGTGTTGCAGCCAGGGTCCTGTTCCAATCACTAGGACAATCCACTTCAATATATAGCCACCAAAAGAGCTGAGTAAAGGTTGTGATATGAACTGTATTATCTAGGGCAGCTTGACAGATGGAGCATGAGAACTCTGCCTCTGTTGGTTCACTACCACTCATATGTATGTATTTCTTTCTGCCTCCTTCTACCTGTTTCAAATTGTCATTGTTTTTCCTAGGGCAGCCACCAGATTGTGTTCACAGCTGATCTGGGAGTCACATGACACTTTAAAGAGTTTACAGGGAAGAGGAGCCTACACAGGGGCTTGATCCAATTCCCACTGAAGTCAAAGGCCTTGTCTACACTTGTGGCAGTGTGTAGGGTACACACAGCGTCCACACTCACTGTGATGTGTAGCTACACGCTGCAGGGAAAGGCTCTGGTAGAGAAGAAGCAGCCTGGAAAGACTCTGGCAGTGGGGAGCTGCCAGAGCCTTTCCCTGGTGCCTTCCTCCTGCAAGAACCTTTCTCTGCTGTCAGAGTCATTCACTGCATCGAGGAAAGGCTCTGGCAGTGGAGGGACAGCGGGATACTACACTGCTAAAAGCAGCAGTGTAGATGGGGGATGCACTGGCTGGGCATTTAGAGAGCCGTGTAGGGTACATTGTACCCATGGGTTCTGGCATGTCTACTCACCTAAGGACTGCCTCACTCTCGACACTGCTATTTATACCCATGCTAGCTGGACATGCAAAGTCCATACTCTACAACTGCCGCGAGTGTAGACCGACCCAAAGGGAAGCTTTCTTTTGACTTCAGTGGGCTTTGGATCAGGCCCCATAAAGAGTGTCAGGCACTTGTAGAATATCACAGCTCAAGTATCATTGTGCTGCAACACCTTCAAAATTGGAACACTTCTTTGATACGATCATAATCATAGACACCTGGCCTGGAACATTTGGCCTCAGCCACTACCCTGAGATCGATTCTCAAACACACACAGAATTAACAAAATCAGAGCCAAAACCTGCTTCCATTGAAGCCAATGGAAGTCTTGATATTAACTTCAAAAGGCTAGGATTTGACTGGTTGGGCCAAACAACTCATGGATTTAATAGGAATTGGGGAAAAATTGGCCCACACTAAGTTCACCTGAGCTGTTGTACAAAGAACTTCATTAAGCAAGTTTTGTTAATGACATTTTATTATGAAAATATAATAGTATCAATTTAAATACCCTTCTGAATGCACTGCAAGGCTGCCTGTTTTCCCAGGCTTTTAAGAAAGGGGAAGGATTATGGGGGTGCAGATTGGTTCAAGGGAGGTGAAGAGCTAGCTATTGTTTTTTTGTTAGATTTGAAATTAGGCGAATGTTTCTAACCAACAGCCTTCCAAGGGGAGCAGGGGGAGCAAAAAATCTAACTGGTTTCCAAGACTGAGCTTGATAAGTTTATGGAGGGGATGGTCTGATGAAACTGCCGACAATGTCATGTAACTCATTGGTGAGTGCCAGTAGCAAAAATCTCCAAGAGCTGGAGATGGAACATTAGATGGGGAGGGCTCTGAGTTACTACAGAGAATTCTTTCTTAGGTATCTCTGCCTGGAGGATCTTGCCCACATGCTCAGGGTCTAACAGATAGCCATATTTGGGGTTAGGAAGGAATTTTCCCCCAGGTCAGATTGGCAAAGGCCATGGATTTTCTTTTCCTTCCTCTACTGCATGGGACACAGGTCATTTGCAGGTTTAAACTAGTGTAAATGATGAATTCTCTGTAACTTGTCTTTAAACCATGATTTGAAGACTTCAGTAACTTAGCCAGAGGTTAGGGGTCTATTTCAGGAGTGGGTGGGTGAAGTTCTGTGGCCTGCAATGTGCAGGAGGTCAATCTAGATGATCATGATGGTCCCTTCTGACCTTAAAGTCTATGAGTCATTCTCAATGTACATGCAGCCCAAGCCTTGGATGGCCATATGTTAGAAATCACTCCCGAAACAAATTCCAGTAAACTCACGGTGTAGACCAATGGTTTTCAACCTTTTTTCATTTGCGGATCCCTAAACATTTTCTGATGGAGGTGCGGACCCCTTTGGAAATCTTAGTCTGCAAATCCTCAGTGGTCCGCGGACCACAAGTTGAAAATCACTATGACAACCTTTCACGTACTCCTTAGACACAGTCTTAAAACCCCCATGGGCCCGTGATTGAAAACTATTGTGGTAGTGACTAAAATGTTGTGTTATACGAATGGAAAATATGTTCAGCAAAAAAGAAAGAAAAGCTAAGACCTATATCATAATAAATATTTTAAATTAATTCCCACACATTCAGGGCCAAATTGTGTCACTTTTACTTGAATTGGGTAGTACCTCATTCCACAAGTAGGCCAGCTGATTTCAAAGTTGCACTCAGTATGAGTAAGGGTGGCTGAATCTGTCCATTAGCTACCATAGGGCCAAATCTTGCTTTCACTGTAGTCAGTTCAAGTTTTGGCAGAGGAAAAAATACAAGACTGGGCTACAGTTCCTACCTTTTCTTCCTTTAGAATATCTCCAGAATCTGTCCCTTCCTCTTTCCTTTCCTTGCATTGACTACTGCCTTGACCACAACAACTTCCTTCAGAGTCCTTCTCTGGTGTACCCCTGTGCAATTTCTTCTGTAGCTCCAGCCAAAATGCGGTTGCTTGGAGCAGTTTCCCTACCTGCTACTCAAGGATTGTAGGAATTGGATCTTTGCCCTGGCTTCTCATGAGACAATCCAAGTGTCTCTTCTTCACTCTCGTAGCTCTATATAACTGCTTTTGCCTTTCTCTCCTCCCTCTGGCTCCTTTTGTTCCACCCAAGCTTCTCCCCTGACTGCTTCCCTTGTCTTTTTCCTCCATGCCTAATTTTGGATTCTTTTATGCAGCACTTTCATATGGAGTAGACCCCCAGCTAATATATGCCATGCCCTTTCAAAGCCCCAGCTGCTCTCTGGAGACATCCACACACCATTCTGTCTGTTTACTGTATTTGAATCTCTTCTTGCTTTTAAGTTATAAACTCTTGGAGGGGAGGGCTAAATGTCTCCATTAGGATTCTTTGCACACTGTCAAGTGCTATATACCATTGTGGCACTATATACATAATGAAAAATAGCTGTGAAGAGATTATGTTTTACTTACTTATTCTCACCTTTTTGACTCACTTTTGATAGCACCTATAGGTCTGAGGAAATGGTACACACTCCTGTAATTATGTGCAAGTTCCCATGCATATGCCACAGGATAAGTGCTAGTTGTATTAGGTGTCTAACCCATCCTCTTATAAAAACTTAGTCTGGACCCCTGCCATATTTCCACTTTCTCATATAACCTGAGGGCAAATGTGCACAGTTGCTAAATGTTACAGACCTCACCTTTCTTCTGATATTGATGTTTTTTGTAGATGTATAAAATCAGAGGCTGAGTTGCCCCATATGTACTTCTTCCCCTCTCCTTGGCTGCCCACTATAACTGTAAATGGTGGTCCCTCTAGTTACACCTGTGCAGCTACTATGCAGGTGGTACAGGACTCCAAGACAGTACACAGGAGACTTGCTTTGCAGGCAATGTGGGGGGAAACTCCTTATGGATTTTGGGGGAAGGATGGGAAGAGACTGGAGAAGAATCAGATCCATTTCTTTATGTGGAATTAGGATCTGTGGGGTAAAACCACAGCAGGGTTTTGCTGTTTTACAGTTACTGTGCAGCCTATGAGGGAATTGTTTCTTCCCAGCCCCCAGTACTCAGGATGTATGCTAAAACCAGGATTTGGTCCTCAGTATAAAAATACTGTGTTCTCATTTTTCACAATGGCTCCCTTAAGAGAAAATTGGTCTCAATGTTTGCTCACCTTACTCATGTGAGTAAGCCCCACTGAAGTCAATGAGAGTATTTCTGTGAGGAAGGAGACCAGGCTTGATTTTGTGCTGAGCAAACATGAAAGCACTTGCAGGACCAGACCCTTTCACGGTGTTGCGTAATAACTGCTTCTCATCCGTACATGTCATAGTGTAGCCATAATTACAACAGAGCCTTCTACCAAATAAACTAATAACCCGACTATGGTGAACACTAACATCTACAGTCACTAGGCCAGGTTCTTTGCTGTAGCAGAGATCAGCTCCTTGGAGCAGAGAGGAGGCCATCAGAGAATTGGTTATTATAGCTCCCTGATTCTGTGCCCCTCATGCTCTGCCACCGCTGCCCTGGTTCGAGCAACTTGGGAACTTGCTCTGACCTTGGCTAGCTGGTAAAAGTCCCACAAAGAGGCCACCTGTCAGGTCAGAATAGCCAGAATGTAGCAGTGCTCCAACCAGGCCTGTCCCTGGGTCAGGAGGCTGAGATAGAAGCTAGCTGTATAGACCAGTGAATCCTCAGCTGGCCAGATAATGCCAGATTCCGGCCCCTTTGCTGGAGTCTGCGTGGGCGTATGGCGTACACCTGAGCAGATCAGACTGCAGGATCAGCTCCTGAACTGGGCAGAGCATGCTGAGCTCTCTGGATGAGACCCCCTAGATCAGTACTCATGAATGATTAGTTAATTAGCACCAATTATTATTAATGATGCAATATGGTGACGACAGTTGCTGCTCCAGGAGGCTGCTTTTGGATCCAGCCTCCACTCTGGGCTGCGTGTGGCCCCGTCCCGTCCCGTCCCAGCCCAGCCCAGCCCGGCCCAGCCCGGCCCGGCCCCCAACCTCAGCAGAGCCAAAGCCCCCGAAGCACCGGGCGCGGCTGCTGCAGTGAGGCCGCTTCGCCCAGCCCCTGCCTCTCCCCTCATTGGCTGGAACCCTGCACCAATGGCCGCGCGGGGGGTAGAGGCGCCCCACCCCATCCCCAAGCCCATTGGTTGAGCGTCCTCCGCATGGCGCGGGGGTTAGCTGAGCGCCCAGTCACTCGCGCGTGGAGGTGGGGCCAGGAGCGGCAGGCGCCGCGGCTCTCGCGCCCCTGTTATTGTTACACTGTAGCGGGTTCGGGGTTACGCTGAGCCCGCCCTTCCCCTTCGGGCGGAGAAGCTGGGTGCGGACCGGAGCCGCCCCGCAGGGACTCGCTCAGGATGCCGGTGAGGATCCAGACCCGGCCCGCTGTCCCGCCTTCCCCATCGCTACGGAGTGTTGTGCCGTTGCTAGGGTGGCGCGGGGCCTGGGAGCAGCGGGGAGCCTGGGCCGGCTTGGGGGGGGGCATGCGGGGTACCGGGGGGGAGTGGATCTGGGGTCGAGGCCTGGCATTGGGGGATGGAGCGCAGGGTACGGGGGGCCTTAGACCGGGGAGGAGGGACTGAGGAGAGGGGCCTGGCATGGGGTGGGGGTGGAGTGCGAGGTACAGGGGGGCTCTGGGCTGGATCTGGGGAGTGGGTCTGAGGTCGGGGCCTGGCATTGGGGGGTGGAGTGTAGGGTACAGGGGGGCTCTGGGCTGGATCTGGGGAGTGGGTCTGAGGTCGGGGCCTGGCATTGGGGGGTGGAGTGTAGGGTACAGGGGGGCTCTGGGCTGGATCTGGGGAGTGGGTCTGAGGTCGGGGCCTGGCATTCGGGGGTGGAGTGTAGGGTACAGGGGGCCTCTGGGCTGGGTCTGGGGAGTGGGTCTGAGGTTGGGGCCTGGCACTGAGGGATGGAGTACAGTGGGGCTCTGGGCTGGGTCTGTGGAGCAGGTCTGGGATCATGGGCCTGGCATTGAGAGATGGAGTGCAGGGTACGGGAGGGTCTGGCCTGAGAGTGGTGCCCACTCGGAGGTGAAGGATGCAGAGGGGCCCTGGTAAAGTGCTTGTCTCTGGGTAGCTTGTGTCGGATGTCCTAGGCTCACGGTGCAGGAAGGCTCTGGAGCCCTTAGGTTTGGGGCCCTAGGCCTAGGGTTCACGGTGTAGGCAGGTGCTGATCGGGTGTAACAGGGATGGTGCTGGCCTGGGGTGTTGCTGAGTACTGGGATCTGAGAGAAGGGAGGGGCAGAGAAGTGCTAGACAAAGGTGGTGGTTGAAGTTTGACACAGGGAAGCTTAAATCATGTGCATTTATAAGCAGGCAGGATGCTTTTATAATGAATAGGCCTGGTGGGTGGTGGAAGATCTGGGCAATATTCTACTATTGCTTCGAATCATATCCTATTTTGTAACTAAGTTCCTCCACGCCAATTGCTGTGTTTAGTATATTATATGTTTTTTACTAATAGTTCTGTATGCAAACAAATCTCACAGTTCAGTGCATAAACTGGTTGTTGCAGGGTTCAGAAAGGGAATTTCTTCCACACCTCAAATAGATTATTGTACAATGAAAGTGTAGAGATTTTTCGCACCTTCTTCTGAAGCATTGGATAGTGCTAGATACTAGGCTTCTTGAGTGAGTGGTTTGTATCTAGTATGGCAAATACTATATTCCTGTTACTGGATTGCAGAACATGCATATTTCAATTTATTATAGATAGTAACACACTGTTGTGCCTCCTGTGGTCTCTATTTGTTATTCACAAAGTCATCCTGATTGTTGTGCACATTTATTACGATCAACCTGAGCTTCTAATGGTGATAAGGCTATTTTTGGCTTGCTTTTTTTTTTTTTAAGGTAATATGTTTCCTAGGCCCAAAATGCCTGCCTTTCCAATACCCTTTGACAGGTGCTTTTGGTAATCTATGCAGCCAGAATGATTGGTGCCCCATGTACTGTCTGATGTATGCTCTGCAATTTATTTTTCTTCATATGATGAAATTTCAACTAGTTACAGATTTTTTTTTTTTATGTTAGGGAGCTAGAGAGTTCAAGGAATTTCAAAGTACGTGATATTCACTGTAGCAGAGAACTACTGATCTGCAGTCCTTACCATTGTCTAATAGTAATGGTTCAGTTAAATAATAAGGTTTCTCCTTATGACTGGATTGCAGAGAGAGGACCTGCAAGTTTTTAGCCTTGTTGAGTCTATCTCCACTTAAAGTCTTTACTTTTAGACTCCTCTGCTGACTCTGAACTGCAATATATAACCTAAAGTAACTGTTACATTTGCCCACCCTGTGGCTCTTACTAGGTTTAGTCTTTGGTGATAAGATTTTTGATCTAATTTACTTATAAGGCCCCTATTAGCTTGGCATGTGAGCTCTTTATAAGTATTTCAGAGTAGAAATAGAAATCTTTCTCTTCCCAACTTATAGGAGAGATAGCATGATTAATATATAGGGATTTTCTTTTTTAAAATGCTCTGCCTACATGTTGTGTTCTGATGCCAGTATGCTTAATTCAGAATGCTGAGTTTACTGATCATTCTTATCCCTTGTGGAACTGCTCAGAAAGCTGTGTTTCTCACCCTTCTCTTATTGGTTAGTGGTTTCATTGTTCCAGTGGAATATAACAGTAACCAATTTAACAATCTGAGGACAGATGCCCTTGGTTGAGTGGGGAATGTTATACAAGAAGAACGTTCTTTTGAAGCTACTTCCTTCTCCTCAGTCTTACTGGGTTCAGCTTTAGCCAGTTTTTCATCTGAGTGCTGATCGCCAGTATTATTGAACTAGTTCTCCCAATGGCTTCATAAAGAGTAATGGGAGAAGGGACTGAGTCTTGTGGAGTGATGCAGGTGACGTCTTTGGAGATGGAGGAACTGTTGCCCGTTATAACCCACTTGTTTTGTAGGCCATATCAGGGAGTGTCTCTTACTGCTGGTCCTATGATGGAACAATAATTGATCACCCATTCAACAGGATGAGTACATGTACTTCTCTTGTCTGTGGGCTGGAGGAGCTCATCTACCAGCAGAACAAATGCTGCCTCAGTAGTGCTTTGGCCTAAAGCTTGACAGCAATCCAGAATATTGGCTGCTGACTAGTAGCAAAAAAACCAACCAACCCCACTCTCGAAATGCCAACATCCTGATTAGCTTGCTTAGCAAAAGTTAGATGCTGGCTGGTAGTTAGCAACCTCTGTAGCATCAAGCGATAGGGTTTTTTGTACTGACTGGGCAATTGTAAGTATTAAGATGAGTGATAGATGTCTTTCATCAGCAGTTTTCAACCTCAAATTGTGTAACAGTTGGCTTACAATTCATATTTCAAAATTCTTGATGGCAGAATAGAAAACTTTCATGTATTTTAGGAGTATATGAAAAACCCAGCACCCCAAATATGGTCCCCCAAGTTACACTTGAAGTAGAACTGAACGAAGTGTGTATATGGACTTTTTGCAAATATTCACTTCAAAAGAAATATCTGTTTGATTGTGTTCATGACCCTTCTGTATTTGAATTCTGGGAATGTTCAAGCTTACATGTGTTATTAGTGTACATAGTTGCAAAATGTGAATGTTCAAAATCAAATATTTAACAGTATATTTGATTGTAAAATCTGCAGTTTGTGTTCATTACTTACTTACATCTTTCAATCAGGGACTAAAAACAATATCAGTGTAACTAAACAGTACAGTGAACATGTTTTCAAATGAACAAATATTTTCAACAAAGCGTGCGAGCGAAGAATCATTTGTTGAAATTCACAAATCTTGAATGACTAATACATTTGAATTTCACAAACCATGTACAACTTGTGTACAGAAAAAGGTTAATTTAATCAAATTAGTTCTTTGTTGCACTTTATTCTGTTAGCTCCAGTTGTAAATCAGTCCTGTTCTGAACACTTAGGCCCCTGATCCTGCAAAGACTTGCTCGTACTTAAATATATGTAATATAATTACTCAGTGTGTACATTTAAGCACATCTGTACATCTTACACTGTAACACATGAAGATGTTTATTTTGTTTTTCATGTGTGTAGATCAACAAATCTGAGAAGCCGGACAAGCCTGAGAGCTGTGATAATGTCAAGGTTGTTGTCCGATGCCGACCTTTCAATGAAAGAGAGAAAGTAATGTGCTACAAGATGGCAGTTAATGTGGATGAAATGAGGGGAACCATTACTGTTCATAAAACAGACTCTTCCAACGAACCTCCAAAGACATTTACATTTGATACAGTTTTTGGACCAGAGAGTAAACAGCTTGATGTCTATAACTTAACTGCAAGACCAATTATTGACTCTGTTCTGGAAGGATACAATGGTAAGTCCCTTATTGTCCTAAAAATTAAGGATCCCTTATGCTGTCAAAATTCCATCTGATTTTAGTAAGAGTTTATCTGAAGAAAGACTGCAGGTAAAAGCACCATATCATTCATATAGTTAACAATAACCTCGTTTTACTTAAAATAGAAAATCCAATAAGGGTATTCACAATTCTGAGTTCCCTGTTGCCAGTGGTTGTGCTTCTATAATTGGTAACAGATAATTATCAGTTACATTGTGAGCATCAGGTACTGGCAAGGTTAGTGGGCCAAACATCTCAACTACTTTTTTCTATTTGTAAAGGATTTGCATTTTATTTATCTTTTTAGCACACCCAGGTTCTCGAGTGCTTTTCTTCTTGTAAAATATCAGTAGCCATGCATGTGTGAGCAACTCTGCAGTAACAACTTGGCATGTATGTATAATGGAAGAAAAATGTTGGTAAGGAAATAAATTGTTTCCAAATAGACAGTTATAAATAATAGTAAGTTGCAAAGATTTTAAAGATCTAGGAGAAATACTTCATTTGTATTGGGGTAAGTATAGGTGTAAAATATAGGAAGTTTCCTGAAGTTTAAATGCTAAGACAAAAGCTTTGTTAAGGCTGTGTGTAAAGGTAGAGTAGAATTAAGTATCTGTTTTTGGCCAGGGGTTTTTTGTAGCTGCAACAAAGCAAAAATCTGACTTAGGAGCCAAACTTATTTTTGCAATACTTGGGTCCATGATTCTGGTAAGTCTTTCTGATACAAGTGAAGGAGGAAGTTTCATGCCTCGCAGATTGGTGATGTAATCCAAATTGTAAATGATTCTGAAAATCTGTATCCTGGTTTGTGAAATGCCCATGTGTGGGGCCTATGCTGAATCAGTTTGAGGTTGCTACAGCTGTGGTTGAGGGAATGCTGATGCCCACCCATGGGGAGTGGCCCTGAGGCAGGTTGACACCATTCTGTAGCCAGTTACCCTTTTGAAAAGAAACTTATGTTTCTGTCTTAACAGGTTTGTACATATTTCGGAACATGAGTTACCCTTGTCTAGTTAATTACTTTTCTTTGCCTTTGTACAAGACAAAGATTGAAATAATCTACTTTTTAAATTTAAAGGAAACTAGTAAATGTGCCTGAACGAAGAGTCATTCATTCTACATTTCCATATTTGTTCTCCCTGTTAATAAATACATTATTGATTGGCCTAGCTCTGACGGTTTGTGTGAGACACATTCCTAGAGCCGTTGTGCTTGACTGAAATAACACATTAGTCCTTTGTGGTAGTTCAGCCCTGTTTGCAAAGACTGTACAACACTTACATTTCCTGTAAGCCTGTACAGTGTGTATTGGAAAAGCTGGAAAGTTCTAACTCATTGTTGCTGGTGGTTTTGGTAGTGCCAAGGTAATGCTTAAAAACTGCCATCTTTGGTATTGCGATTCATTATAAATATTTTTCTTGTACTGCAGGCACCATCTTTGCATATGGACAGACTGGCACAGGCAAAACTTTTACCATGGAAGGTGTACGAGCTGTTCCTGAACTTAGAGGAATCATCCCCAATTCATTTGCCCATATATTTGGTCACATTGCAAAGGCAGAGGGGGACACAAGGTGAACAAATTTTCTTCCTTTGCCTCACCCCCGTCCCCGAGACAAGCAAAAGATTGAAGCACAAACTTTCAGACATCTTGGGTAAAATCCTGACCCTGTTAAAATCAATGTGAGTTTTGCCACTGTCTTAATTGTGGGTCAGGATTTCACCTCTTGTGCTTAAGCACATCTTTGTTTATGAATCAGTAAGCAGTCAGTTTGTATTAGTACTCTGCATATTTTCTTTGTACGCTGAGATCAAACCAGTTACATTTAACAAATATTTCAGTTTATAAATGACTTTTAATCTTAGATTTTTGGTTCGAGTGTCTTACTTGGAAATTTACAATGAAGAAGTACGTGACCTGCTCGGAAAAGACCAGACGCAGAGGCTAGAGGTGAGGATGGAGTGTTTTGAATCACTGATATTTTGCATTTTAAAGGAACAAATTGTCTCTTCAAGAAGAACTGAGTATTAAAAGAACAGACAGACCTTGGAGGGGAAGAAAAGTTTTCCTTAGCACCAAAGGTGACCTTTTGCCCCTATCAATATTTTGCCTTTTCTCATTTCTTCTTCTCACTTAACCTTTAGTCTAGTAATGTAACATTATTTCCCTCACACTCTAGACTAATTCCCCTTAGGAGAATCTGGGGAAGAATAGCTGAAAATATTCAAAATACAAAAACATTCTAGTCAGTACCTGTATTGCTGTCAAATGAACTCAGTGGCTAAAGTGCCTTTGTCCTTTACACTGGTGCTTTTCCTGTGATTCCCTCCAGGGAACTTCTCCCACTTTTATGGCCAGTTTTCTCACAGTCTTATCATCATCCCAAAGACTTTTGGGAGCTCCCTGACAGACTGTCTGTAGATCGCTCAGTGAGTTATGAGCCTGTTTATAAGAGTCAACAGTTTGCAGGGTGGTATATTTACTCTCTGGTTCTAGACCAGTGGTTTTCAATCTTTTCATTTGCAACCCCTAAAAAAATTTCAGATGGAGGTGTGGATACCTTTGGACATCTTAGACATAGTCTATAGATCCCAAGGGGTCCAGCAACCATGGGTTGAAAACCACTGTTGTCTGGTAATTACAGCCTTTCATGGACCCTTTAGACATGGTCTGCAGACCCCCAGGCTGTAAACCAGGGGTCTCAAACTCAAATGACCACGAGGGCCACATGAGGACTAGTGCATTGGCCCGAGGGCCGCATCGCTGACACCCCACCATCGCTGTCCCTGCCCCTCTCTCCACCCCTTCCCTGCCTCCATTCCAACCTATTCCCTGAAGTCCCCACCAAATCCCCCTCCCCGCCCCCAGGCGGTGCAGGAGGGATTGGGGGTGCAGGCTCCAGCCTGGCGCCGCTTACTTAGAGCAGTGCCAGGGTGGCAGCAGCATGCACTGGGGCCAGGGCAGGGTCCCTGCCTGCCGGCCTCGGCCCCGCACCAGGAAGCAGCTGTCCCTGTGGCCGGGTGATGGGGGGCACAGGGCTCTGTGTGCTGCCTTGTGGCTCCTCCAGGTACCTCCCCCAAAGCTCCCATTGGCTGCAGTTCCCCGTTCCTGGCCAATGGGAGTTGCGGGGGGCAGCGCCTGGAAGCCAGGGCAATGCATGGAGCCCTCTGTCCCCAACCCCCTCCCTGGGCCGCAGGGAAGTTGTGCCGGCTGTTTCAGGGAGCAGCACGGGGCCACGGGGGGGCAATCCCGCCAGCTGGATCCGGCCCGTGGGCTGTAGTTTGCCCACCCCTGGCCTAGAGGTAGGCCGGTGGGGTGCGGGCTGCTTGGCGGTCTGCAGGAAATAACCCCGCGGGCTGCGTGTTTGAGACCCCTGCTCTAAACCATGGCTCTTTAGCTGACTTCACAAAAACTCTTCCCAGGGCTAGGAGAAAAGATGTGGGCACCTGTACAGAATAGGAGAGTGGCATGTGGGGTATGTTGTTCAGTTATTGTAGCAATGCCTTGAAACCTTTGTTTGAAGTACTTCTCTTGAGAGAAGAAATAAGAGATGGACAAGCCAGCTTTTTATTTATTAAATACTTCAGAAATTCTCAGTGGTCTCTGGGGCCAGGAAACAGTTGATTAGACCAAGTGCTTTCTCTGCCTCTGAATGTGTTGTGCCTACTCCCCTCTCTGAACCCCTCTTTACGATCTCTATGGAGATTTGAGGCTTCCTCCTGATTGGTGTTCCCTCCATTTGATTTGCCTTGGGAGAAGGGGCAGTAGAAGGCTACAACACTCTTGACCCATAGGCTTGTATGGTTCTGATAAGTCATGCTTGTATAGAACAGAAACTATGCTTCTAGAAATAGCAGTACACTAGTGCGTTACGTTATGATAACTGGTATATGCGAATACTACAGAGAACAGCTTCCAAAAATAATCTCTGTGCACCTCCTGGAAGTGCCCAAACAAATCTGTTTCTTGTTTAGGTTAAAGAGAGACCTGATGTGGGAGTTTATATCAAAGATCTTTCAGCTTATGTTGTAAACAATGCAGATGATATGGATAGAATCATGACACTAGGCCACAAAAACCGTAAGTAGCACTCATTATTAGGGCTTTAAACTCTTGTCCAGAGCACAGTTTAGTGTAGCACTATGCATTGCTAGGTAGATAGCTGACTTTCGGGCCTGGGTACAGTCTTCACAACTCTTCAGGAACAGCACTCTCAGCTGAGCAGTGAGAGGGATGACTCCTTGCTAAGTCCTGTGATTCAGAAGCAGCCGATGAAGGTAGGACAGGCCCTATGCAGCAGCTTTTCTTGGCTGGAAGGCTTGTTCCAATGTGGAGTCTTGATGGTGTGAGAGTGGGGCTGTAACTGAACTTGTGAGACTACAGCAAAGCAAGAGGAGACCACTGGGACTCGAACCTGCCCATTCATTCTCCTTTTCTTCCTCTCGCCTTTGCCCAGCTGAGAAACATTAGACCAGTGTTGTGCTCTGAAGTATTGTAAACTGGTGATGCGATTGCATGTTTTCTCCGAGCAACAAAACGGCTCATTTTAGCATCCAGGACACTTTCTGAATGAAGTACTATAGGTTAATGTACAAATCAAGCAAGGGTTAATGACTGTCACTGCCACTACATTGAAAACTGCAATATTTTTACTACTCGTAAACACAACTCAATCAGCCAAGATTAATAGTCTGACCCTAATGGGTACTGAGCATCATCTCTCTTGGATTTGCAGTCTTTGCTAGGTCAGTTGTATTTTCCAAAGGAGATGAATGGGTGTGAGGCTGCCTAGTGCCTTTTGGGATTGGGCCTTGAAAGGCATATGCAGAGATACAGCTAGAAGCAAAACCTCTGCTTGTCTTTCAAATGATTGCACGTCCGGACTAAAGATGAATGCTGCAATTTCAAGCCCAGAAAAAAATTCCTTCACCACAGGGTCTGAGGGGAGATGCATCACACTTATTAGCAGCATCAGAATCACTGCAAAATGTTGGGTGTTACAGCTGAGATAATTATTCTACACTAATTATTAAGTCTTGTCATTTTCTGAAGTTAAACAAGAAATGCATTCAGTTCTTTTAAGTAAGATTATAAAATCTGTAAATTATAACTGCTTTGTGGCCTCTTTGTTTTCAGATTAGGGACTGTTTTACCTTATAGTTCATTGTTAATTCTGATGTTTTTGGGTCTCTTAACTAAAGGTTCTGTTGGTGCCACTAATATGAATGAGCACAGCTCCCGTTCCCATGCCATCTTCACTATTACCATTGAATGCAGCGAGAAAGGTGTTGATGGAAACATGCATGTTCGTATGGGCAAGCTGCACCTTGTAGATCTAGCTGTAAGTAGTAATGTGCAGATCTAACAAAATGCTAGTTGTGGGATGGTTACTGATTGTTATGCTGGACCCTTAACAAGACAGGGAAAAGGCACTGCCCCTCCCTGAAAGAGCTTACGATGTAAGGCCCAGATGCAGTACGAGTTTCTGTGGGGACAGACTGCTGTGGAACCCAATTTAAATCAGTGCAATTCTGCCTGAATGCAAAGATCTGCCTATGTGAAATAAATTGCAGGATTGGGGCCTTCCTTAGACATGCATAACTTTCCCAGTGGAGAGGATGGCCGAGGGAGGACAAGGGATAAAATAGTCAAATTTTTGAGGTCGCTCAAGTGTGTTATGTGCATCTAGATGGTTCCATTACATTTTTTTTCTTGTAAAAGTGTAATTGTTTATAAGTTACTAGATGTTTCTTTTCCCTCATATCCATTGATTGGGGGAATCAGAAGATCATATTTAAAAACTTACCATTAGGGTGTTATGCAGTGTTGTGTATTCGCTACAGTTTGTTTTTCTAAAATAAATGTTTGTATATGAGAATGGTACATTCCATTTTTCCAGCTATGTCTCTTTGGGTTTCAGTGCTACCATGAGTCTAAAGATTCCATTAAGACCTGCTTGACCCTGTCCTTTCACCCTCTAAATACCTGTGTATTCCTTTCACCAGGGATCAGAAAGGCAGACAAAAACTGGAGCTACTGGGCAACGACTAAAGGAGGCCACAAAAATTAACCTTTCTCTTTCCACTCTTGGGAATGTTATTTCTGCACTGGTGGATGGCAAGAGTACTCATGTGCCCTATCGTAACTCTAAATTGACTCGACTTCTTCAGGATTCCCTGGGGGGCAACTCAAAAACCATGATGGTAAGAATGGGATACGCCAAAGTTCAATGTCCCAGTAACTTGGTTTATATCTTTAAGGTGGAATTGAAGCAAAATTCTCATGGGAATAGTTTGACGTTTGTATTTACCCTTCTTTATTTCTGGACTGTGCTCTTTCATCAGTGCATAGAAATGTAGGGCAGGAAGACCCCTTGAGAGGTCATTTAGTCCAACCCCTATGCTGAGGCAGGACCAAGAACCTAGAGCATCCCTAATATGTGTTTGTGCAACCTGTTCTTAAAATCCTTCAATCATGGTGCTTCTACAAGCTCCCTTGGAAGCCTGCTCTGGTGCTTACTATTCTTATAGTTAGAAAGTTTTCCCTAATATCTAACCTAAATCTCCCTTGCTGCAGGTTTAGCCCATTACTTCTTGTTCTACTTTTAGGGAACGTGGAGAACAGTTGCTCACTATCCTCTTTATAACAGCCCTTCACATATTTGAGACTTCTTTCAGCCCTCCTCAGTTTTCTTTTCTCAAGATTAAATATGCCCAGTTTTAACTTTTCCTCATAGGTAGGGCCCTACCAAAGTCATGGTCAATTTCATGGTTATAGGATTAAAACAATTATAAATTTCATGATTTCAGCCATTTAAATCTGAAATTTCAGGGTGTTGTAACGGTAGGTGTCCTGACCCAAAAAGGAGCGGGGGGGAGGGTTTGCAAGGTTACTGTAGGGGGGGTTGCGGTTCTGCTACCCTGACTTCTGCTCAGATGCTGGCAGCGGTGCTGCCTTCAGAGTTGGGCAGCTGGAGAGCATCAGCTGCTGGCCAGGAGCCCAGCTCTGAAAGCAGAGGCACTGCCAGCAGCAGCGCAGAAGTAAGGACAGCACGGTCTGGCTTTGCTACCCTGACTTCTGCGCTGTTGCTGGCAGGGCGCTGCCCTCAGAACTGGGCGCTGCCCTCAGAACTGGGCGCTGCCCTCAGAACTGGGCGCTGCCCTCAGAACTGGGCGCTGCCCTCAGAACTGGGCGCTGCCCTCAGAACTGGGCGCCCGGCCAACAGTTGCCACCCTCCGTCTGCCCAGCTCTGAAGGCAGCGCAGAAGTAAGGGTGGCAATACTGCAACCTCCCCCTAAAATAACCTTGTGACCCCCCCTCGAAACTCTGTTTTGGGTCAGGACCTCCAATTTGAGAAACGCTGGTTTTCTAAGTTCCCTCTAAGCCACGCAGCAGCCTATTAAGCGCTGCACAGGTGCTCAGGGCTGCGGCAGGGAGAGATGCCCCGGACCTGCTGCGGCCAGGGGAGAGGCGCCTATCCCACGGCCCTAGCCTCAGAGCTGCCTTGGGGAAAGATGTCTCTTCCCCCACCCCCTTCCCAGCCCAGGTGCTGTTGCAGCGAGAGAGAGCTGGGGGGAGTCCTCTTCCTCCCTCCCTCCCGTAGTCCCGGAGCCTGCACCCAGAGTCAGAGCCCTCACCTCCCCGTACCCCAATCCTCTGCCCCAGCCCTGAGCTCATCATCCTCAGCCCCACTTCCGAGCCCGCACCCTGAGCCCCCTCCCACACTCCAAACCCCTCAGCCCCACCCCCGCCACATGAATTTTGTTATGTACACAACCTCCATATTGTGCACATCATAAAATTCATTCCTCATACGCATGGGGAAAAATTAAAGGGAACGCTGCTGGTCTCCCTCATGAAATCTGTATAGTATAGGGTAAAAGCACACAAAAGACCAGATTTCACGGTCCACAATGCGTTTTTCATGGCCACGAATTTGGTAGGGCCCTACTCATAGGTCAGGTTTTCTAAACCTTTTGTCATTTTCTGTACCTCTTCTCTGGACTCTCCACTTTGGCACATCTTTCTTAAAATGTGGCACCCAAACTGGATCCAGTATTCCAGCTGGGGCCTCACCAGTACCTTATAAAGCAGTACAATTGGTCAAACTGGACAGTCTCTACGTAAAAGAATAAATGGACACAAATCAGATGTCAAGAATTATAACATTCATAAGCCAGTCGGAGAACACTTCAATCTCTCTGGTCACGCAATCACAGACATGAAGGTCGCTATCTTAAAACAAAAAAACTTCAAATCCAGACTCCAGCGAGAAACTGCTGAATTGGAATTCATTTGCAAATTGGATACTATTAATTTAGGCTTAAATAGAGACTGGGAGTGGCTAAGTCATTATGCAAGGTAGCCTGTTTCCTCTTGTTTTTTCCTACCCCCCCCCCAGATGTTCTGGTTTAACTTGGATTTAAACCTGAAAAGTGGTCAGTTTAGATGAGCTATTACCAGCAGGAGAGTGAGTTTGTGTGTGTATGGGGGTGGGGGGATGTGAGAAAACCTTGATCTATGCAGGAAATAGCCCGACTTGATTATGTAAAGAGTTGTCACTTTGGATGGGCTAGCACCAGCAGGAGAGTGAATTTGTGTGGGGGGGTGGAGGGTGAGAAAACCTGGATTTGTGCTGGAAATGGCCCACCTGTTGATCACTTTAGATAAGCTATTACCAGCAGGACAGTGGGGTGGGAGGAGGTATTGTTTCATATTCTCTGTGTGTATATAAAGTCTGCTGCAGTTTCCACGGTAAACATCTGATGAAGTGAGCTGTAGCTCACGAAAGCTCATGCTCAAATAAATTGGTTAGTCTCTAAGGTGCCACAAGTACTCCTTTTCTTTTTACAATTACCTCCTGTGTCTCTCGTATACAACAGTCCTGTTAACATACTCTCATCCTGTACAGCTTTTAGCCTTACATCTATCTGAACATAAAATTCACTTCATGGACATGGGAGGCTATAGACCAGAACAAGAGTACCCAGACGCATAGGGTCAAATGGAAGCTGTGCTTGTGCATCCCGTGGCAGGACTTTGTTCATGCTCTGGAGGCAGCAGAAAAGTACAGTTTGCAGGCAGAAAACTACAGTAAGGGATTTGCAGTACAGGGCGTGGGTCTGTTTTTACATTTCCTGGTCTTGCAATTCCTTGTATTTGTGTCATTCAAGCTTTTACGTAGTGCTAAATCCCATCTACACAAGTAACTCCTTTTTTTTTTTTTATGTAACAGTGTGCAAATATTGGTCCGGCAGACTATAATTATGATGAGACTATCAGCACACTCAGGTATGCCAACCGTGCCAAAAACATCAAGAATAAGGCCAGAATTAATGAAGATCCCAAGGATGCCTTGCTCCGTCAGTTTCAAAAAGAAATTGAAGAGCTTAAAAAAAAGCTGGAGGAAGGTAACTTCCCTTGTTCCTAATAATGTTCTCTGTACCTTCAGGTTATTCTGTTCCTGTATCACACGTCTCCTTTTTAAAGACTTACCATGGTCTGCTTTTCAGGAGTTTTGTAATAACATCTGAAGTCCCCATGCTTTTACATATGAGTGTTACATTAGTCTCAAGTAAAAAGAAGAAACCCAAAAATCACCCATAAATAGAAATAGATGGCATGCACGTATTTCTATGCTGAATGCAAGCTAGAGCTTTTCTTCAGTTAAGTATTGGATTTGTCCACTAGATGGTATTTAGAGCTAATATAAAGCAGATTTCATCTTTTCTTTTCTCCTTGGTTTAGGTTTGGATGTGACCTATATATAATTGAAATGTACTAATTTTAAAAGTCTCATAGAATCATAGAATATCAGGGTTGGAAGGGAGCTCAGGAGGTCATCTAGTCCAACCCCCTGCTCAAAGCAGGACCAATCCCCAACTAAATCATCCCAGCCAGGGCTTTGTCAAGCCCGACCTTAAAAATATCTAAGGAAGGAGATTCCACCACCTCCCTAGGTAATGCATTCCAGTGTTTCACCACCCTCCTAGTGAAAAAGTTTTTCCTAATATCCAACTAAACCTCCCCCACTGCAACTTGAGACCATTACTCCTTGTTCTGTCATCAGCTACCACTGAGAACAGTCTAGATCCAGCCTCTTTGGGAAGTTGAAAGCAGCTATCAAATCCCCCCTCATTCTTCTCTTCTGCAGACTAAACAATCCCAGTTCCCTCAGCCTCTCCTCATAAGTCATGTGTTCCAGTCCCCTAATAACTTTTGTTGCCCTCCGCTGGACATTTTCCAATTTTTCCACATCTTTCTTGTAGTGTGGGGCCCAAAACTGGACACAGTACTCCAGATGAGGCCTCACCAATGTCGAATAGAGGGGAACGATCACGTCCCTCGATCTGCTGGCAATGTCCCTACCTATACATCCCAAAATGCCATTGGCCTTCTTGGCAATGAGGGCACACTGACTCATATCCAGCTTCTTGTCCTCTGTAACCCCTCGGTCCTTTTCTGCAGAACTGCTGCCGAGCCATTCGGTCCCTAGTCTGTAGTGGTGCATGGGGTTCTTCCGTCCTAAGTGCAGGACTCTGCACTTGTCCTTGTTGAACCTCATCAGATTTCTTTTGGCCCAATCCTCCAATTTGTCTAGGTCCCTCTGTATCCTATCCCTACCCTCCAGCGTATCTACCTCTCCTCCCAGTTTAGTGTCATCTGCAAACTTGCTGAGGGTGCAATCCACACCATCCTCCAGATCATTAATGAAGATATTGAACAAAACCGGCCCGAGGACCGACCCTTGGGGCACTCCACTTGATACTGGCTGCCAACTGGACATGGAGCCATTGATCACTACCCGTTGACCCCGATAATCTAGCCAACTTTCTATCCACCTTATAGTCCATTCATCCAGTCCATACTTCTTTAACTTGATGGCAAGAATACTGTGGGAGACCGTGTCAAAAGCTTTGCTAAAGTCAAAGAACAACACGTCCACCGCTTTCCCCTCATCCACAGAGCCAGTTATCTCGTCATAGAAGGCAATTAGATTAGTCAGGCATGCCTTGCCCTTGGTGAATCCATGCTGACTGTTCCTGATCACTTTCCTCTCCTTTAAGTGCTTCAGAATTGATTCCTTGAGGACCTGCTCCATGATTTTTCCAGGGACTGAGGTGAGACTGACTGGCCTGTAGTTCCCAGGATCCTCCTCCTTCCTTTTTTAAAGATGGGCACTACATTAGCCTTTTTCCAGTCATCCAGGACTTCGCCGGATCGCCATGAGTTTTCAAAGATAATGGCCAATGGCTCTGCAATCACATCGGCAAACTCCTTTAGCGCTCTCGGATGCAGCACATCCTGCCCCATGGGCTTGTGCTCGTCCAGCTTTTCGAAATAGTCCCAAACCACTTCTTTCTCCATAGAGGGCTGGTCACCTCCTCCCCATGCTGTGCTGCCCAGTGCAGTAGTCTGGGAGCTGACCTTGTTCATGAAGACAGAGGCAAAAAAAGCATTGAATACATTAGCTTTTTCCACATCCTCTGTCACTAGGTTGCCTCCCTCCTTCAGTAAGGGGCCCACACTTTCCTTGACTTTCTTCTTGTTGCTGACATACCTGATGAAACCCTTCTTGTTACTCTTAACATCTCTAGCTAGCTGCAACTCCAGGTGTAATTTGGCCTTCCTGATTTCACTCCTGCATCCCCGAGCAATATTTTTATACTCTTCCCTGGTCATTTGTCCAATCTTCCACTTTTTGTAAGCTTCTTTTTTGTGTTCAAGATCAGCAAGGATTTCACTGTTAAGCCAAGCTGGTCGCCTGCCATATTTACTATTCTTTCTACACATTGGGATGGTTTGTCCCTGTAACCTCAGTAAAGATTATTTAAAATACAGCCAGCTCTCCTGGACTCCTTTCCCCCTCACGTTATTCTCCCAGGGGATCCTGCCCATCAGTTCCCTGAGGGAGTCAAAGTCTGCTTTTCTGAAGTCCAGGGTCCGTATTCTGCTGCTCTCCTTTCTTCCCTGTGTCAGGATCCTGAACTCAACCATCTCATGGTCACTGCCTCCCAGGTTCCCATCCACTTTAGCTTCCCCTACTAATTCTTCCTGGTTTGTGAGCAGCAGGTCAGGAAGAGCTCTGCCCCTAGTTGGTTCCTCTAGCACTTGCACCAGGAAATTGTCCCCTACACTTTCCAAAAACTTCTTGGATTGTCTGTGCACCGCTGTATTGCTCTCCCAGCAGATATCAGGGTGATTGAAGTCTCCCATGAGAACCAGGGCCTGCGATCTAGTAACTTCCGTGAGTTGCTGGAAGAAAGCCTCGTCCACCTCATCCCCCTGGTCCGGTGGTCTATAGCAGACTCCCACCACGACATCACCCTTGTTGCTCACACTTCTAAACTTAATCCAGAGACACTCAGGTTTTTCTGCAGTTTCATACTTGAGCTCTGAGCAGTCATACTGCTCCCTTACATACAGAGCAACTCCCCCACCTTTTCTGCCCTGCCTGTCCTTCCTGAACCGTTTATATCCATCCATGACAGTACTCCAGTCATGTGAGTTATCCCACCAAGTCTCTGTTATTCCAATCGCATCATAATTCCTTGACTGTGCCAGGACTTCCAGTTCTCCCTGCTTGTTTCCCAGGTTTCTTGCATTTGTGTATAGGCACTTGAGATAACTCGCTGATCGTCCCTCTTTCTCAGTATGAGACAGGAGCCCTGCCCTCTCGCGCGTTCCTGCTTCCTCCTCATTCATGTTATGTTAATGTCAGGCTGGGGACAAGTGCAAACTGGGGTTTTAAAAAGCATAATGACAAAGGGTTAAATGTTCTCCTTCTAGCAGAAAAAAGTGCTTGGGAAGGGAACAAATGCCTCTGAAACTATCAAACTGAACTTGTGGAGAGGGCTTTTAAGTCTCCTTCTAAAGAATAAGGGGGTAAAGCTACAAAACCATGTGGCTCCACGGGCTCTGAGCAACTGAGCCCTTCACATCCCACAAACGAGAATCAGCCTCTTCGTAGGTGGGGTCCTTGGCAGCATATAGCCCGAGAGAGCAGAGCTATGATTCCATGTGTTTATACGGACACATCAGTATCCTACCGACTGTGGATAAGGGAGAAGGTACAGAGAAGGAGATTTCCACTCGGATTTCCACTTGGAAATCTTTTCAATCCGAGAGAGACATGGAAAGTACAGTAGTGTTCCCACCCACTGTTCTTAACCCATTATTTCAACCCCTGTTGAGTCCCTTTGCTAATTTTGGGCCCCGCACCGCAGAATAAATGCCTTGCAAATGGAAGTCTGATTAAAGCGTACAGCTCAGAAACTGACACTCATAGATGTAAGGATGTAGCTGTGCTATTCTTTTGAACTTTTGCACTGAATTACATTTTAAAGTTCTGACAGACTTTGGTTTCAAATTGAAGTTGAAACATTAAAAATACCAAAGCATACCTTGGTTACAACAGAGAGTCATCTTTTCAGAAAACAACTGAGAGACTCTGGACAGTTTAAAAAAAACATCTATATGGCATAATGCTTAAAGTGTAAATATTTATTCCTGATGAACACTGTAGCCATTTTTCTCTGTATTTCAAACTTCATTTAAAGTGCTTAGAGGTAAAATAATACCTTGTTGGAGAATTGTAGCATAATAATGCTTAGCACTTGTGCTTTACAAATGCTGCAATATTAGACTCCAATCGCAAACTTTCTAAAATACATAATTATAGGTAGAATTTTGATATGTCAGCATATTTTGGAACTGGACTGTCAGCTTTACTGAGATTGCTGGTTTAATATTTATCAGATTTTATATGCTGAAAAAGAAACATGTACCTATTACATGAGTAAACAAATGGAAAAACCCAGATCTTTCCCAAATCTGCATTGCCTGTACAGTCATTTAGTACCTGCTGCCAATACACTGCTCAAATAAAGTTGAAGGTAGATAAAATGCTGCTGTTATAATTAATTGTCTGATATGCTGTGAAAGAGAGTGCCTTGGAAACATATATTTGTGTTTTAGGGGAAGAGATATCTGGCTCTGATATCAGTGGTTCTGAAGATGAAGAAGAAGAAGAAGAAGAAGATGGGGAGGTTGGAGAGGATGGGGAAAAGCGTAAAAAACGAAGGGGTAAGGTATTCGCATGCTCCAATTCTCTCGTCCTTAGTCGTCAAGAAGTTGACTCCGGAAATTTCTTTGCATGAAGGAATCAGTATGCAACTTTGCATAAGTATGAACTTAACTGAGACTGTAGTAAAGTTCTACTGCCCGCTGCAATTATCATGCCTCTTGTAGAAACGAAGCCATTTGAAGCAGTCAGTCTAGCTAGACTGCTATACCTTTATATAGCATCTGCTTCCACTTGGGTAGTTTTGCTTGTAGTAACTTTCTCTTATGTGGTGGTTCCCTGGTTACAGCAGGGTGGCCATGTATGGCTTGTTACTGTGCGCATGTCTATGAGACTGATAGCAAACCCACACAACAGAACTGCCTCTGGGATATGGAGTTGTGGGAGGGAGTAGGGTTGCCAATTTTGCTTCGCTGTATCCTGAAGGTGTCGTCACATGACATAATCTTTAATTAAAGATTAATCCTTGAATCCTGGAGACTCCAGGACAATCCTGGAGGGTTGGCAGCCCTGGGAGGGAGAGTCTAACAAGCTGCCGCAAGGAGAGAGAGCAGTTTCTAAAAAAAAAAAAAAAAAAAACCCAAAACCAGGAAACTTAGTGGCCTTGTCTAATAAGAGCCTGCTGTGTATATGGAAGAGATGAAGGAACTCCCATTGATTTCTCTTTGCTGGGAGTAGAGACTGTAGGAATGGGCTCTAATATTACAAGCTAAATTCATCCTGTTCGTTAAACTGTTTGTAGTGCTCAGACTTCTTTCCTGTCTGAAGTGTAGAATGTGTTTAAACAGAATTCCAGGCTTAATGCTGGAAGGAATCTGTGACATTTGACTTGTCTTTCATTAGTGTCACAAATTGTCTGTTTTCTTCAGAGGGGCCCCAAGCTCAAATGCCAGTTTTAATTAACCTTTTTATGTTTAAAGGTTTACTCAGATGTAAAAAGTGCTTCTTGCCACAGTGAACTCCCAGAACTCTGTCCTGAGCCTAAATTCTGCAGCTTTCTCTACAATTTGTTTCATTGTTGGTGTTTAAGGAGGCTTCAGTCACATAATCGTATTAAATCTACAGTATGATGTATGGTTTAAACAAGTCATTTCAAGCTTATGTGGGATTGTTTTTGATGGGTAATGTTCATGTTATAGCTGTTTATCGTGTTCAGTCAAGTTGCTGCTAGTGCTGTTGGCATGGTTACCTGGTGTGTTTTTAAAAATCCACAAGTGGCCTTTCTGTTTTGTTCACATGCTTTCAATTGGTTAGATGATTTTACTTTTACGTGTACTCTACTCGATGTTCATAATGGGTTATCAGCCCATAAGGGCAAAAAGTAGAATTGTTGTAACTGGTCTTCAGTACAATTACAGAAGTATCTCTGGGGCTGAAGTTCTGCTCTCGGATCAACTGGTGCAAATCCAGAAGGTTATCTAAGTGCAGAATTTAGCTCAGTGAAGTAATATGCCCTTCATTGTTAAGTACTATAAATCTTCAGCGTATGCCAGTTCAGAGGATTGTATGGTGCTATCTCCTGTCAATTACGATTCATTGATTCTAGAAATTCATTGCCTATACCATTGTTTAATAGGTCTGTAGCCTAGCACTTGTCTCTTGTGCGAGGGTCATTTCTTGTGGCAAAAAAGCTGACCACCACTACTTATGTTGCTGCGTTAAACTAGTCGATTCCAAATAGCACGGTGAGTCAAGTGTTCTCTTGTGATTTAGTTACCTTCGTGACCTGATCAACAGGCTTCTTTTTAGTAACTGCCCCTTTGCAGGCAGGTATTATGACCCTTTATAGGACAAATCCTTCTTGGAGTCATGTGCCTGATAACAGAATGAATGGTGCATAATATTTTTTTCATAATCTGTAGAATTAAAGTGAAAATAGGCATGTGGGTCACTTTTCATTTTGAGCAATTACCCAATATGGCTAGTGGTTTTTTGTTGTCTCATACTAGACATGGTCAGGATGGATTTTTGCTGAAATATGGTTGTTCTATAGCCTACATTTTAGAGTATACAATGGTGGCTCTACAGGAGTGAATCTAAGTGGGATCCAAGCAAATGCTTCCAAACATAAGTATTACTTTGCCTTTTCAAACCAGTTTGCTGGTTCTTCTGGGCTTCTTTGGATTTCTTTCTTTTGGAACTAATTTTTAGCTGCGTGTTTCTTCATATAATTGTTCCTTCTTTCCTGGGTTTTCCGTGGGTCTTACTTTTTTGTTTTCCAGGCAGTAGCAGCACCAGTAGTTCAGACTCCACATGCTCTGTCATAGAGAAACCTCTGGATAAGTCCTTCACTAGTGAGTGGGAGCTCTTAAGTCGTTTAACAAAGCTTTGGCCTTTCCATAACCTGTGCACTCCATTTTGTAAATGCCACACTGCTCCCTGCCACTTTTTTTATTTAAGAGAAAAATGTGGGTTTATAAATTGGCTAAAGCATGCTTTTCTTTTGCTGCTTCCAAGCTTTAAACAATTGTTCAACGTGCAACTTAGCTTAATGTTTGAGAAAATGTAAGGCAAGTTAGTGCTTTGTTCGAGCTAACTGTAAAGAGAGGGGGGAAATGGCATGGAAAATCCAATTCCAGTTTTTGTTTCATTGGCTTCCTTCTTTATTGAGACATTGGCAGAGAACAAATCAGTGGAACAATCAAAATCTTACTTTAGATTTATAATCTGGAAAGGGGGCTAGATAGCATCTGATTAATTCACAGTCCTTTGATCTAAAGAGATCTGGATTCAGATCTTTAAGGGTGGCAAGTAAATGTGACTTGTCTATTGTGGAAAGATATCCAAGTCACTGTAAATCATCATTTGCTTGGGCATCATTGTCATTCTTTGTTCAGAGAAGGGGCCAGTAGTCTGGATGAAGAAACTATTGGCTTAGTTGCCCCTGGCTCCAGGCAGGGCTTTTTGGTCCCCTTATAAACACCAGAATTAATTAATTAATAATGGCTGTTTTACTCAAAATATTCTTTAAAAGCCCTAATTCCAGATTGGTGGGAACTTTCTAACACTAGTTTGTATCTTACTTCTGCAAGCCCGAGTCACACTTTTCCCCTTTCTTAGGCAGAGAGAGGCTGATAGTTCATGGTGTTGATATCTTCTAGTTTTATCTAAAAAGGAGAGCTCCTTAGTTTCTAAACTGTTCATTTATTGGTGGTATTAACATTTTTCCACCAATAGTAAAATACAAAATCCCATTTACTTGTCACAGTCAAGAAGGCTTAAAATGTAAAAACCCTCTAGTGGTTTACTTTATTGGAGGCATTGAAATGCATTTGCTTTTCCAAACTTGCTTTTAACCAGAATATTTGGGTGTGGGCAAATCACTTAATGGCAAGTTGTCTACTGAAATACTTAGTTGGGGACCAGTCCACCTCCCATAAGTCAGTGAAGAGACTCCAATTTATTACGGTGGAAGTTGGCTCAGACCGTCAGTGGTAGAATAAACACTACTTGTTCTACAGTCAAAATAGTAATTGTCCTCATATGTTGTGTGGATCTTTTGCATGTCGTCTTCCTTCTGCATTATCTTTTTTCTTTTTCTTTTCCTGTTTCATTCTGATCACACCTGCTTGAATAACCAAAATTAGCCATATACCTCTATGGAAGCATCAGTTACTGCAAATTAACCTACTAATATCCTGTTTAATTGAACATAGAAATCTTGTGCTGAAATCCCATATGTGCAGTTGATCATATAAAACAAAGAATTGACTTGGAAATCTCGCTAAAATGCAAAGCAAGCTTTCTTTCTGTGTGCTAAGGTTTTACAGGTAATGTAAAAAAAAAATTGGCTACCTTGAAAACATAACTCAGTCTTACTTTAGGGTGGTAGGTGCCCGCTTGGATGTTTCTTAGGGCATGATCTTTGCGGCAGGCTCGTAATGTCATATATAGAATCTGCGTTATATTGAACTGAATAGGAGAATGCAAGAATGGTTTGAAGATTAATCTGAATATGCAAAAAAAAAGTATCCTTTGGTTCAGAAAATTTACTCTGGCCAACCATAAATCGTAACGCAAATATTTGCTTTAATGGCCTCTTATTTCTCAATGATTATTCTGCTGATTTTTTCTATCTGTAGATGCAGATTTAGATTAATCCTTATACTGATGATCTTTATAACAAAACAATCAAGCAGTAATGTTTTTCTTTTTCCTCCCTTTTTTATGCATATGCTGCCTATCTGCGATTTGCTTACTACTTCCTCTTAATGCAAGATCAAGCAGGTTGGTGTGATTGATTTGTGATCGATATAGTACCAATACAGAGCTTGTTAAACGGTCTTGCTGCTCAATCTAACTTTCATTCTTTAAAATTGAGAAGATCTAAGAATGTGTTTTGACAGGTAAGGCTCCTTCATTCACCTGTCCCTGACCTTTTTGCTTAAGGATTTCTCCATATAGAATTTCACAGAAAGCTCAAACTTCTAAAGGATATTGCCCAAAGCTTGGTCAAGCAACATATTGCGGCTGTGAACCTACATGTTGCTACTTCTTACCATCGGGCCAACAGGAGAAGCAAATGGAATCTAAACCAAATTATTTTGATTGTCCTGTTCCTGAATTACTGTCACACATCCTGCCATGAAATTATATACTACACCCAAATACCTACATAATTCCCCCTCCCCACCCCCATTTCTGGTGGGTGTGGGTGTGTGTATTTAAAATGGGGCTGTTGATTAATCTTAGTTAACTCACACGATTAACTCAAAAAAATTAATCGTGATTAATCACAGTTTTAATTGCACTGTTAAACAATAGAATACCAATTGAAATTTATTAAATAGTTTGGATGTTTTTCTACATTTTCAGATATATTGTATTCTGTGTTCTAATTGAAATCAAGGTGTATATTTTGGATTACAAATATTTGCACTGTAAAAATGATAAACAAAAGAAATCGTATTTTTCAGTTCACTTCATATAAGTATTGTAGTGCAATCTTTGTCGTGAAAATGCAACTTACAAATGTAGATTTTTGTTGTTGTTACATGACTGCACTCAAAAACAAAACAATGTAAAACTTCAGAGCCTACAAGTCCACTTAGTCCTCCTTCTTGTTCAGACAATCGTTTGTTTACATTTACAGGCAATAATGCTGCCCTCTTTTTTTTATTTACAGTGTCACCAGAAAGTGAGAATTGGGCATTTGCATGGCACTTTTGTAGCTGGCATTGCAAGGTATTTAGGTGCCAGATATGCTAAACAATCGTGTGGCCCTTCATGCTTCGGCCACCATTCAGGAGGACATGCTTCCATGCTGATGACGCTTGTTAAATAATGCATTAATTAAATTTGTGACTGAACTCCTTGGGGGAGAATTGTATGTCCCCTGATCTGTTTTACCCGCATTCTGCCATATATTTCATGTTATAGCAGTCTCAGATGATGAGACAGCTTCATTTTAAGAACACTTTCACTGCAGATTTCACAAAACACAAAGAAGGTATCTATGTGAGATTTCTAACCGACCCAAGGTTTAAGAATCTGAAGTGCCTTCCAAAATCTGAGAGGGACGAAGTGTGGAGCATGCTTTCAGAAGCCGTCAAAGAGCAACACTCCGATGCGGAAACTACAGAACCCGAAGCACCATAGAAGAAAATCAACCTTCTACTGGTGAGATCTGACTCAGATGATGAAAATGAACATGCATTGGTCTGCACTGCTTTGGACTGGTATTGAACAGAACCCATCCTCAGCATGGATGCATGTCCACTGGAGTGGTGGTTGAAGCATGAAGGGACATATGAATCTTTAGCGCATCTGGCACATAAATACCTTGTGGCGCTGGCCACAACAGTGCCATGCGAACACCTGTTTTCACTTTAAGGTGACATTGTAAACAAGAAGTGGGCAGCTTTATCCACTGCAAATGTAAACAAACTTGTTTGTCTTGGCGATTGGCTGAATAAGAAGTAGGACACTGTGGACTTGCAGGATCTAAAACTTTACATTGTTTTGTTTTTGAATGCGGTTTTTTTGTACCTAATTCTACATTTTGTAAGTTCAGCTTTCATGATAAAGAGATTGCACTACAGTACTTGTATTATGTGAATTGAAAAATACTATTTCTTTTTTTACAGTGCAAATACTTGTAATCAAAAATAAATATAAAGTGAGCACTGTACACTTTTTATTCTGTGTAATTGAAATCAATATATTTGAAAATGTAGAAGACAACCAAAAATATTTAAATAAATGGCATTCTAGTATTGTTTAACAGTGCGATTAATTGCACAATTAATTTTTTAATCGCTTGACAGCCCTAATTTAAAAATTAATGAGGTGATGTTTCAGTGTCTTTACAAAAGTTTCAGAGTAACAGCCGTGTTAGTCTGTATTCGCAAAAAGAAAAGGAGGACTTGTGGCACCTTAGAGACTAACCAATTTATTTGAGCATGAGCTTTCGTGAGCTACAGCTCCGATGAAGTGAGCTGTGGCTCACGAAAGCTCATGCTCAAATAAATTGGTTAGTCTCTAAGGTGCCACAAGTACTCCTTTTCTTTTTACAAAAGTTGTGTGTGTATGCGCAGTGGAGAGCCTTTTACCGAATGATAATGTTTGGCAGGGTATTCTGCAGGGTTTTTTTTCTTGTTTTTTCTCCCCTGCAGTAGTGGTAAATTGTTGCTATTGGATTTTCACACATTCAAGTTAGTTTTCTTTTGTCTAGATTTTGTTAGAATGCAGCTGGGAAAAATCAAAACAGGGTAAATAAAGGGTATTTTCCACACACTAAAAGTTCTAGAAATCTAAATTAGCTTGGTATCTTGCTATGCTCTCTGCGACCCCTCGTGCAATTAATCCGAAACCTGTTCATGTTCATATGCATTGATATATTGTGCAGTTTTGTAATTAAGATCTTCCCAATCCAAAGTTATTTTTCAACTAATGTTGATCTCTGAGATTTGGAGGATGATTTATAGGAGCCATTCTTCTTGTTCTAGAATTCTGAATTATTTTCAGATGACCTTATAGGGCTACTGAACTCAGTCTGAATACCAGTTAGCTGCTCAAGTTACCTCCATTGTAATCACGGAGGTGTAGTGTAAAAAACTGGTTTGTTTTTTACTTTTTACCAGTGGTCAAAGTACTACCTTTATAGACCATTACAAATCGCACCACCCCAGAATCTCTGAATGGATACTGCTACAAAGACAATCTGAGTCCACAAGCTGTTGTCCATCCCTTATCTGCTGTTATCTAATCGGGCTTTTCTGCATTTCTCTGCACATTGTAGTTCTTCATTGTGGACAATACAGTCTTAAAAGATCTTACTGCTAACTTTCGCAGTGACGTTCCATAGGGAATGCAGTACAGAAGGGTATCTTGGAGAAAATTTCTTCCAGTGTGAATTTTTGGAAAGTGGAATTCTGAACTTAGCTTTAGAACTCAACTCTTCTAACAGGCTACAAAAAGAAACATGAGCATCTAATTATAAAGAGAAGTGATTACATTTTAAAGTTTGCTTAAAAAATAAACTCTGGATTGAACTGTGCAGACTAACTTTTCATTATCCCTTTAAAGTAATTTAGGTCTCAAACTTCTGGCTTTTTTTTAAGATAGCAGTCTTTTTCACAACGGTTTTATTCTTTTTTTAAATTTGATTTTACTATTATACACTAATATTAGCTTAATACTTCTGTGTCCCCAATGGCAATAAATAGCAAAAGCAGGGCTTGAGTGGCTTGTAAATGTCACTAGATCTCTAAGATGGAACTAGTCTGGTGTGCACCTAACTCTTCTTCATATAAGTCAGTTACTATTTTTCTTCTTGTCCAGTTTCCAAAGTGCCACTGGATGGCTTTGTTGAAGTCTTAATAACAAAGCTACTCTAAAATGTTTAGTATAAAAGTTGCCTGTGTTGGACAGTGATGCGATACAAGCTGGTTTCCTGACAAGCTGGGAAGCATCACCAGCATCTATTAAATATCCATTTGCACTGAATAGTACTATTGTACACTCCAGTAGGTGCAGAGATAGGGTATAACTATATATTGCCATTGAAATATTTTTATTTAACTTTTGTTGAAAATCACATTTAATTTGAAATCGGATGACAAGATAGAAATCTTCACTATAATAAAAGACGGTGTTTTATTTTTGTCATCAAATAATTCATCCTTAACCTGAATCTTTCCAAAGGCAAGAAGAAAGTTTCCCCAGATAAAATGGTAGAGATGCAAGCCAAGATTGAGGAAGAGAGAAAAGCACTTGAAACCAAGCTTGACATGGAAGAGGAAGAGAGAAACAAAGCCAGGGCTGAACTGGAGAAGAGAGAGAAAGATCTACTCAAAGCCCAGTTAGTACTGTATCATAAGAACAATTTTTTTTTACAGTTCAGTAATCAGATCTAATTAGGGATGTGTGACTGGTGGAAATTCAAATGAATTGGTTGATTAAAGCAGGGATGCACAAAATGAATGCTCTCCTGTCCTGCTGTTAAAGCAAATGAGCTTCCTGTGTAGGTTAGAGCTGGTCAGAAAATCCAATTTTAAAAAAAAATGCATTTTTTAAATTTTTTTCAAAATTTCAGCCAGCTTTAAAAAAAAAAAATCCAAATTTGAAAAAGCTGGACAAGCTCCTGTATGTATTGACTGCTAATGAAGTAGTCAAATACTAAGAACCATCATAACAGCCTTTACTGCCATACAGTTTAATGAGATGGAGGTGGTTGATTCTGGGCACAGAACTTATCTTGATGTGGAAAGACTGATCCAGGCTGGAGCTGAAAAGTGACCTGTGAGTTCTCACAGGGCCTCAGGGCAGAGCACAAGGCAAGCAGGTGCAGGAGGCACATGGCTGGTGGGACAAGGGCTGGAGAGGTAATGGACTCCTGTGTGAAGCCTCCATGATCCCTGCTTGTCTTCCTCTGGCCCCCATGTGTGATTATTTTCTCTTCTCCTTGCCACCAAGGCCCTGAGGTAAACAGCTGCTGCTGCCACCTCTTATTCTCTCTCCTCCTGGGTCTCCACCTTGCCTGAGCCCCAGCAGAGGGAGCATTGAAAGTGGAGGAGGAGACAGTCTCCCTGATCTCAGTGCCCCAGCAGCCCCCAGTGGAAGGGAGGATTTGCAGCAGGAGAGACTGTTCACTGTCAGCTGCCCTGTTTGACTTTTAGCTGCAGCTCTCTCCAGTAACTTGTATTTTCTTATTCTTGCAGTCTCGAAAGTGAGATGAGTGTTCAGGCCCCCTCCTGCCCACAGTTCAGACCCATTGTTCAGGCCAGGCCCCACCACTAGAGAGAGCCTGGAATACATGGTGTTCCACTCCCTGTCTCTCTCATCAGACAGGAACACCAGTCGCTGCTGGAGAAGTTATCAGCTTTGGAGAAGAAGGTGATTGTGGGAGGTGTGGACTTGCTGGCAAAAGCTGAGGAGCAGGAGAAACTTCTAGAGGAATCTAACATGGAGCTTGAAGAGCGAAGAAAAAGAGCTGAGCAGCTTCGCAAAGAGCTTGAGGAAAAAGAGGTTTGATTAGCTTCCTTATTGTAGTGCTGATGATCTTAACTGACAGGACTGATTGTGCTCACCTTCCATTGTCTCTCTCAGCCTTGTGTGCACGCTTGATATGGAAGCTATGGCAGGAGCTGATGCCAACGTTCCTAGAGACTGACACCTGAAATGGGTAGGCAGTTCTCTGGTACAGAAGTGTGTGCAAAGACGAGCTTTATAGCAGCGCGTAAAAACAGTGGGGCGTGTGTGATACAGATTGGTGTAGGCAGAGCCGGCACTTCACTTAGTCCAAGTAGTTTCTCCTCTGGCTATACCACAGCCAAATGCTTCTCTAACAATAGTAAATTGTGTGTTGCCTTTTGTTTTTAAATGTTGCAAACAGCAAGAGCGCCTGGACATTGAGGAGAAGTACACCAGCCTGCAGGAAGAGGCACAGGGCAAGACCAAGAAGCTGAAGAAAGTCTGGACAATGCTAATGGCTGCAAAATCAGAGGTCAGTATCCAAAAGAGTTGTTTAGTTAGTATTTCAAAACAGACTTAGTTTGTAAATATGTGCCCTACACTATGTAACCCTGGAAAAGTGCTTTACCAGTGTCTTTATAAAGCACCTCTTGGTTTGTATGTTTTCAGAGAACTAACTGAACGCTGGTAATCTGAGCTTCTGGGGGTTACATCTTCAAGCTTTTCTCTGAATCTACGAGGGCTAGGGTGACCAGACAGCAAGTGTGAAAAATCAGGACGGGGGCAGGGGTAATAGGCGCCTATATAAGACAAAGCCCCAAATATCAGGACTGTCCCTATGAAATCAGGACACCTGGTCACCCTAATGAAGGCGAGAATTCATTTTCTTTGAAATGAAAGCGGAGGGTCTCATTCATATGACTCTGGGAGCTGGAGCTTTAATAAAATCACCAGTTATCGCTAAAGGTGTTATAAAATCATCAGTTGCCAACACACTTGCTCTGCACAATTGCCTGCTTCTGCTTGACTTGAATAGTCTCTTATCTTTTCTTTCAGAGTAATGTAATCACTTGACAGAATATGGGATTAATAATTTATCTTAGTTGTATCTCCCTTGGAATTTCACTTTTTTTTTTGTTTTTTTCTTTCTCTCCTGTGACTTTTCATCTCCGTGGCATATTTTTCTCCTTTCTGTAGCTTTTTTCCCATGTCCTATCCTTCTGGCCAGGATCCCCAATCACCCGCCACCTGGTTACCACATTCTTTCCCTTTCCCTACAACCTGTGGGAGCTCAGAATGTCTGTTGGCTGGTGCCTGTAGCCCATGCTGCAGGAGGTCTTCAGGCCGAGAGTTGCTTCCTGCAGCTGCCTGAGCTGCATAGTAGTCTGTTGGATAATGGGATTTTTTTTAGGGTGTGCAGGTCCCTTCCTTGAACAGGATATACCTAGACTGCTCTGCTCCTGGTTTCTTCCAACAAGTGCAGAGCAGGGATTTGCAGAAGTCTTGTAGGCAAAAGGTGCCAGTCTGAGCTCGTATGTTTAAATTTATCAATTCTTGGGGATAGTTTATAATAAATGAATTCATTTTGCCTGTGAATTTAAATGGAGGTGGAATGATGAAAGGCCAACAACTTTTTGAAGGGCTTTCATGTTTGAACTACTTCTAGCTTCCTGATGGCTTGCTTTATTGTCCATAGATGGCAGATCTGCAACAGGAACATCAGAGAGAGATTGAAGGATTGCTGGAGAATATTCGGCAGCTCAGCAGGGAGCTTCGTCTTCAAATGCTCATCATAGATAACTTCATTCCTCAGGACTACCAGGTAAAGGAAGGGAAGCCTATTCTTGGATTTGGGGTTTTTAGTAATGTTAGACACACCCATTGATTCCTCCAGCATTCCTTCTGTCCCCATCAGTAGTGGGAGTGACTCAGCACACCTCATCTCTGTATCCAGTTTGTTAGAGCTAGTAGGTATTAAATAACATCGCACAAAAAACAATGAGCCACTTAAGATTCTAACTTATGTATATATTTGTAAAAGAGTATTTATAAAACACAGCAAACCTCTAATTGAATTTAATTAGAAGGAAAATCAAGGTAATTAGGTTTCAGACCAACACAGTTATATGAACGTGCTACCAGGCACAACTCTGTCACATTTCCATATTAGTTTTAAATCACTCTCAAAAACAGGAGAATCAGAGACCCCAGATGTGACTGAGTCAATCTTCTGAAAATACCAAGACAGAGGTTTCTGGTGAGCATTACAATTGTTCACTAAGCAGAATGACTTCACCAGTCACCTTGCTCCCTGTAGTCTTTATGTAATGCTTTGAAAAGCCTGGTTGAGTATATTGATAAAGTGAAGCAATTACTTGATTATCTGGGGAGGATCCACTTCCTCTCCACCCTCTGTCTACAAGATCTGAAGTATTTTCTAAAATTGAAGGCCATCTCTACAATAGGAAAATGTATACCTGTAATTGTCCACTGTGGCAACTTCACCCTGGGACTGAGTAGCTTTTGGACAACAGTGGTTACAAATAGCTGATGACTGCATCAACAGGGAACTACAGGCTCAAACTCTGCCAACGCATCCTAAATATTCATCTTTCACTCTGCTCTTCACAGAAATGAAAATCTCCTGTTGGACCTCCTACTATAAAAAGCATTATTGATTGAGGATGAACAGTTCCCATCAAAAGGGAGTAGGAGTTACAAGGCACAAAGCCAGCTTATGTAGCCTACCCAAAGGCAAAGTGTTCAAACTGGTGCAGATCCCCCCCAAAACAGGGCTATCAGTTCATTACAAGAAAATGAATGAAAATTGATCCATTCTCCAGAATGACTAATGGGATGTTTCAGGACCCGTTCTAGTCTAGGGACAGTTGGATGAGGATGAAGTTAGCAGCAGTATTTGATGTTAAAAGACGCACAACATGACAGTACCTAGAACTTTCTTTGTAGTGTTCTCTTGGCTCACCAGTTTATGGTATGCCTGAGATTCATTGTATCTGACAATTTAAATAAAAAGAAAAGCAGTATTTGTGGCACCTTAGAGACTAACCAGTTTATTTGAGCATAAGCTTTCGTGAGCTACAGCTCACTTCATCGGATGCACACTGTGGAAAGTGTAGAAGATCTTTTTATATACACACAAAGCGTGAAACAATACCTCCTCCCACCCCACTCTCCTGCTGGTAATAGCTTATCTAAAGTGACCACTCTCCTTACAGTGTGTATGATGATCAAGGTGGGCCATTTCCAGCACAAATCCTATTACCAGCAGGAGAGTGGGTTTGTGTGTGTGTGGGGGGGGGGGGGGATGAGAAAACCTGGATTTGTGCTGGAAATGGCCCAACTTGATTATCATACATATTGTAAGGAGAGTGATCACTTTAGATAAGCTATTACCAGCAGGAGAGTGGGGTGGGAGGAGGTATTTTTTCATGCTTTGTGTGTATATAAAAGATCTTCCACACTTTCCACAGTATGCATCCAATGAAGTGAGCTGTAGGATAAGCTCACGAAAGCTTATGCTCAAATAAATTGGTTAGTCTCTAAGGTGCTACAAGTACTCCTTTTCTTTTTGCAAATACAGACTAACACGGCTGTTACTCTGAAACCTGACAATTTAAATATCTCTCACCACCCAGTACAAAACACACTAAGCATTTTTCTTTTGTTTTTATGAATATCATACCCAGACAACTATCTTAATGACTGGAGACCTGTACATGTGCAGGGTACTCCAATATGCCCTGGAACAGGTGATTCAGACTAAGCGTATGTCTACACTGCAATAAAAGATGCACAGCCATGGCTAGTCCAGTTCAGCTAACTCAGGCTTAGGTTGCGGGGCAAAAATTGCAGTGTAGATGTTCAGCCTTCAGCTGGAGTCCAGGTTCTGAAACCCTACAAGTAGGGTGGGTCTCAGAGCTTGGGCTCCAGCCTGAAACCAAACATCTACACAGCAATTTTTAGCTCCAGTCAGTTGACCTAGGCTCTGAGACTTGCTGCCACGGATTTTTTTATGGCAGTGTAGACCTATCCTCATAGGCCATGGCCTTCAGTGTGGGGTGTGGTTTTTTAACAGGGTATGGTCATCCACATCAATGAATCAGCCTTGATTAAATTGACTTGAGGAGGAGCCATGTTTAACAGGGCTTTAATGCTGTTGTTAAATTCACTTTGCCCATGATCTCTTGGGTGTGCCTTATGGAAGATGTATTTAGAGTGTATGAAGAGTTAAAATTCACAAACCTAGAACAATTATTTTTCTTATTTCTTCTAAGGAAATGATTGAAAACTATGTTCACTGGAATGAAGACATTGGAGAATGGCAGTTGGTAAGCTTAGCTGATAGAAAATGCAGGTAGCTACACTAGTGCAATGCAAAGGTTCTCAAGGGGTATGAAATGAAAGCGAGGGTTCTCAGGCTAACTCGCCAACCTTAGCTATACAGTTTTCATTGACTAGTTAGATTGTGCCATAATGGAGAGTCAGTGTTAAACAATGGACTTTCAGGGAATTGTAGTAAGACACTGACTGCAAGATCTCTGTGATGGGTTTGTTACTTATCCCAGATGTTATGGCAGGTTTTTGTTTGGGTCTTTTTTGAGGATTTTGGTGTTTCATTGATGTGAGCTAATCAAAGCCATTGCAGCTGTCACCAACAATATTACCAGCCATGTTGCTGGAACAGAAAAGATCATCTGAAATCTTACAGAAATATATATTTGTGTATATATATTTATCTTGCATCATGGCCTGAAGTTCACTAGACTGGCAAACTGCCAAGGGTAGTAAAAGTTGCAGAGCTATAGATGTTCTATTTAGCCACTAGTCCTAGGAAGTTCTGCTTCAGGCACTTTATAAAGAACATCCCAGCTGCATTTGAGCAGGAAGGAAAAAAAAAAAATAAAGATACGAAAATGCATTTTTCAGGGCACTAAAATTATTCGTGAATTTGGGATTGAATTTGACAAAAAACTGGACAACAAAAATGTTGGAAATGTCAAAATGAACTGTTTTTTTACAATGTTTTGAATCCACATTTCAAGACAAAAAATGTCAAATGTTTTGATTTGACCCAAATTAAAAATTTTTGAATATTTTTTTTTGTTTTGGTGAGAGAGAGAGAAAAATTGGTTTGAAATGAGTGGATTTTTAAAAAATTATTCATTCAGCTCTAATCCAAGCTAATCTTAACTGTCATGATGGGTAAAAGGTGCAAAGTGTGTCTTTCATCTTGTAAACTCCCAGATTAATTGAATTGAGGCTGGAAGCAAATATAAACCTACCCAGTCATGCAATCAGTTTTATAATATAGTTGACTTTGCTAACGGATCTTTCTCTTTCTTTAAGAAATGTGTTGCATATACAGGGAACAACATGAGAAAACAGACCCCGGTACCAGATAAAAAGGAAAAAGATGTAAGTGTCTCTTCTTAAATACGGATCAAACTGTATAGATCTATAGTGTACAAGCCAATGAATACCCATATGTAGGGCCCTACCAAATTCACAGCCTTGAAAAATGTGTCCAGGACCGTGAAATATAGTCTCCCCCCATGAAATCTTGTCTTTTGTATGCTGTTACCCTATACTATACAGATTTCATGGAGGAGACTAGCGTTGCCCAAATTGGGGGTCCTGACCCAAAAGGGAGTTGCAAGGGGGTCGTGGTATTGCCACCCTTATTTCTGTGCTGCCTTCAGAGTTGGGCAGCCAGGGAGCGGTAGCTGTTGGCCAGGTGCCCAGCTCTGAAGGCAGCACCCTGAGAGCAGCAGGGCAGAAGTAAGAGTGGCAAAACCATACCATGCCACCTTTACGTCCCTGTTGCTGCCTTCAGAGCTGGGCGGCCGGAGAGTGGTGGCTGCTGACTGAGGGTCCAGCTCTGCAGGCAGCAGCGCAGAAGTAAGGGTGTCAATACCATACCGTGCCATCCTTACTTCTGCGCTGCTGCTGGCGGTGACTCTGCCTTCAGAGCTGGGCTCCCGACCAGCAGCCACCGCTCTCCAGCTGCCCGGCTCTGAAGGCAGCACCGCCGCCAGCAACAGTGCAGAAATAAGGGTAGCAGTACCGCAACTCCTCTTCGCCTCCACCCCCCCCCCAAAAAAAAACCCTTGTGACCACCCCACAACTTTTTGTGTGTGTGTGTGTGTGTGTGTTCAGGACCCCTACAATTACTGTGAAATTTCAGATTTAAATAGCTGAAATCATAAAATTTACCATTTTTAAAATCCTGAGACCATGAAATTGACCAAAACGGACCATGAATTTCGTAGGGCCCTACCATATGTGCTGCATCTCCTGCTGTAAAACTTTCTAACTCTGTTTTTATAGTCTTTGTGTTTTGATGAAGCACTTGCTAAGTGTTATAGAAGAACATATACTAACAGTCGTAAAATGGATTCTGTGTATTCGTTCCCTAGCCCTTTGAGGTGGATCTTTCCCATGTTTATCTAGCTTACACAGAAGAAAGCCTGAGGCAGTCTTTGATGAAGTTAGAGAGGCCGAGGACTTCAAAAGGAAGATCAAGGCCTAAAACTAATAGAAGGTGAGTTCTTGTGAAATGGTTTTGTATGTGGTTGGGAACTTCCAAGTGAAGTGTTTTAAGTCCTAACTAAAGGTTTATTTTGGGGATCAGTCCAGTAGGCTGCATTTGGGCATCCCTTTAATTTGAATGGGAGTTAAGGAATGAACAGCAGGACCCCAGGCCCTTTGAGCAGTGCTGTAATGCATTCCACAGAGAAAGTCATTGAACTATAGTGAATGCTGATCAAAAGCCATAATACTTGGAAAGCATGCTCTATTGATTTAAGGGCAATTTTCTGTTGCCAAGATTTCAAATTATTAGAGCTGGTTCTGATTTCTCCTCCGTTTTTTCAAAAATTGACAGTTTCTTTTTTCCCCCTTTTTAAATAATTTTGACATTTAAAAAACTAACTTTTTCAAACTAAATAGTCCTATGTCTGCAGAGAACTATAAAAAGGGGTATAAGATTTTTTCATAGTATAAATAGTGGTATTTAAATAAAATGGAGAATGGAATTACATGGGAGACATATATGAATACATGCCTCAACAATGCTAAAATCACTGAAGCCTACACAAAGGAATATAACGTTCCTTAGGTGATATGAGGTAGAGACTCAGTCTGAGTCAAGGTTTGGGAGTTGCTAAGTTTAGTTCTGGTTCCAGTTTGGGTTAATTGTACAAAAAGCCCACCAGCATTAAGATTGGGACAGTAACACCAAGTCAGCAAACATCATACATTATGCTTACTCAGTCATGTTACACATACCCCAGATTTTAAGGTACACTTTTTAACTGACTGTAGTGCGTGAAGATGTATAGTCAATAGAAAAAACATATTGCGCATGCTATGTAGTTTTTTATCATGGGAGAGTTGGCTTTGGCAAGAAACATTAACTTTTGGGGTCAAGTTAAGAGGCATAAAGTGTGGTAAATTTGACTCTTAAAGACACATCAAGTCTAAGTGACTTAAGAAGTGGCCTACTTTAACACCTTAAACATTTGTGTGTGTAGTTCTTGCTACATTCCTCTCCTCTGGCTACTTGATATGTTTTATTCTAGCATGCATAGACTTTGGAGGTCAGATTCACAAGTGACATGTGAGAGTACACATAAGTTACCTGTCCAAATGAGGGTGGTGCTGATGGATGACCAAATGTAAACCTAGATAGATTGTACTTTGAGTTGGCCTTCTAAAATATTAAATATGCCGTTGTTGAGATTTTAGCATATTATTTTTAGAGGCTAGAAACCAAACTTGTGTAAATGTTAATACTATATACTTTAGATTTGGAAAATGTAACCCCTTCTTGGGTTCTTTTCTTGGGTAGACTACTAATGTGTGTTTGTCTTTTTCCACCCCTCCTCTCTGAACAGAAAACGTTCAGCAAAGCCAGGCGTCGTCATTGACTCTCTGCTTCAGTAGGTGTTTTGCATTCTGCTTCAGAGTAAAGATTAATGTGTGTTGTAATGCTTTGCTAAAATTCATAGTTCTTTAGAAAATATTGAAGAACTGGCGCAATTTAACCAGAAGGGGCTACCAAACAATGCCTCATCAGTAAACAAAAATGAACTTGTTTCTCTAATTACCCTTATACTGTATGTTATATTAACATATGTTAAACCAATATATGTGTTGTTGCAAAATTGTCCATATATTACACCACTCTTTGTGTTGTGCAGGGAAACCAGTGGCAGTAAACCTTGTTGAAATGTATAGAAAGCAAGAACTTTAGGTGTGTTTAAATTTTAAAAATATTAGCCCAGTGTGGTGGATAGATCCTGAACTTTAAATCCTAATAACTCTGTTTTATGTCCTGCTTTGTACATAAACTAGCGGCTTACGCTGTTGTCCTGTGTTGCACTGTTGTATGTTTTCACGTAGTGGGTATAAATCCATGATATAACTTAATCTGAATACTGAGCCCCCTTCCTTGGCTATTTAAATACTCCCTATTTGTAGCTGCTGTTTGAATTTCATACATTAAATGACTAATTGTCTGTCTTTCTGTTCCTTTAGTAACTGACATATGTAGACTTACTGTATATTGTTGCATAAAGAGTGACTGTTCTGAAAACCTAAACTGTACAAATTCAAGAACATTGGGCAAGGACAATGTTTTGTTTCGTTTCAGTGCAAATGAAAACAAAACTGTTTCGTTTCATTTTATTTGAAGTGCTGTTGTCCTTTTATTTACTGTTTAAATGCACACAATCTCTAGGCAACAACTTTGACTACTTTTCTGAGGGTGGCCATCGCTGAAGAAAATGCAAGAGAATATGTTTTACTTTTTAAAAGGCTGCTTTGAACCTTGACTGCGCTTGCACTGAGTGGAGGATGTGTAACTGATCTCTCTGATTGTAACTGAGCCTTGCATTTTTTGTATGAATTGCTCTACTCTCAATATGGATGGAGAAGAAAAAATCCTAATGTGTTAAAGAGAATGCCACAAACCCATAATATAGCTCAGGCTAGGTGTTTTCAGAGCTTGTAGCTAGCTTTCGCACCCTTGGCCCTAATATTTTGGGGGCAATGCTCTATTGATCAGGGATGAATTTGGACCCTTTATATTTTAAAATAGAGAGGTGCTTCCTTTACTTCCAATCTCCAGGTAGTAGTAACATCCGCACAAAAGTCGGTCCTGTCTACACCCAAGTAGCCTTTTGTTTTCCGTTACACTTAGAGACAGTATCTTAATTTCTTCTAAAATCATTATCCTTTGCATTGAGTGGCTGCTGATTTACTAGTTCATTTGATCCCCCTGAATACTGTGCTGCTACTAAACATTTAACATTTTAATATATTGCTTTTGTGATACAAGAGAAATTATTCCTTTGTCTTGTGTATGTTCTGTAACTAGTGCAGGAACACATCAGTTACAGATGTCTTCAGTCTTCATAAACCCGTTTATTATTAATGTCTGTAACTTCAGCATAACCTTACAGTGTTGCATGGAGTGTAAAAAGCTGTGACTGCTGATGTGAAAAGGTGGAGTCCCTAAACAAAAGCATAGCACTGTTCCACTGCGGGTGTCATGCATTCGTTCTGGTAACAAGATTTACAGTTAGTTGAAATATTCTTTCTGTAGGGTGCAGAATATTTAAAAATGCATCAAAATACAATGTGTTCTTCTTAGTACTATGACCAATAGCTCTGTCTTGTGGATCTCTATGCAAGTGTAAGATGCACAGTCTGGCAGTTAAAATTTGGTCTCACAAGGACATATTTAACTTTGAGAATTTCAGTAGCATTCTGGTTAAGCTCTGTTGTCCTTTTTAAAAAATCTGTTTCTTTTGATGTGTATGTCTACACTGCGATTAAACACACGTGGTTGGTCCGTGTCAGCTAACTCGAGGCTTGGGGACTGTAAAATTGCAGTGTAGATGTTTGTGCTTGTGTTGGAGCCCAGGCTCTGGGACCCTGCGAGGGGGAATGCTCCAGCCCTAGCCTGAAAATCTGCACCACAATTTTACAACACTGCAGCCCAAACCCTGTGTGCCCAAGTCAGCTGACATGGGCTAGCTGTGGGTGTTTAATTGCAGGGTAGGCATACTCCGTGTCTTCACCCAGGAGCAAAACTTATTATGTTGCGTGGGTTTTTTTAAAAACAATTGACACTGTCATTTTAAAGTTTATACAAGATTTCTTTTTTTATAGCACAGCATTTAAATAAGAGGCAATTCATCAAGCTCTTCCCCCAAAATGAGGTGTACTTCTCATCTTGAAGAAAAATTTAAGTATTGGTACTTAAACTTAACTTACTGTGAATGTGCAGTAAACTTATTAAACGTCCTAATTTACGTAACTTCTATACTTGTCATACATGCTAAAAAGACTGAAGAGAGTCCATAATGGCTCAGAAGTCATTGCTATGGCCCCAGGCCGTCACCAGGTCCGTGCAAGAGGACCTCTGCAGCCGCAGGAAGCCCAAGCTTCATGTGGGCTTCTGGAGCCATGTGCTCAGTGTAGAATTGGGGCCAATGTCAGTAATAGAAGATCTGGAGTTCCTTGGTTTTTATGATAAAAGTTAATACCATTATGACCTTGTTGCAGTAGGATCCAGCAACTAGGCAAATAAACACTTCCTCCTTAATCAGTGCTTTTTAAAAATGATCTTACCAAATGGTCTGTCTGTCTGACAGACCATTAATGGCACCTTGAAGGTGCCATTGTGAGCCATTCTACCCATACTAAAACATTAAATGATTAAGTCTAAAAGTGCATTTGCTACAGTGGAACAGATCTGTAAAAGACAAGTCCCTGATAAACAAATGTTACTTGTACAACAGTAGTTAAGAGGACAGCTTTTCTGTATGTATGTTTGTTAAAAAAGGAAGCTTCTTGTGTCATTTCTATCTTTTATACCAATTTGCACATAAAACCAGCATGCTCCATGATAGACTTGCTGGCTGTGATTTGCTGTCACAGCTTCGGCTTTGGAGAACAAAATCCCTTGCTATTAAAAAGGAGGAACTTTGAAATGAAATGTTTTTAAGTAGGTTCTGTTTATATTTATGAAGCTTGACTGATCTTTGAAAGGTTTGAATGTTTGTCTGAGTATGGGCATTATTTTTAAAGTTGCTAAAAATGCATCTGGGCTACAGATTTACCCTGCAGCTCTTGGATTATCTGCAGGCTTATTCTGTCCAAACTCATTTTTAAATCTTTTTTTAAATTTATGCTTTAGCCAATACAGCTATTCTGGTCTCAGTTCAGTCTTTCCTTAACTCATGCTCTTTTGTGTGGTTGTGTCTGTCAGTTTTCCTCCCAGTTTCCTCTCTTCAGGAAGTGTTGGCCTTAACACTGACATTTCCTGGGTCTTTTGTCAGTTTGTTACATTCTTAACATTGCTTTTAATAGAGCATATTGTGCATTTAATTTTTTCCTGGTCCTGGAATTGCTAGAATGGGGGGGAAATCTTCCTTAGTGCCTTTCACTGACTTATACTGTAGTCTGCACACTTTAAATTATAGCTATTTCTCTTTAGTTCTGTTTCACCAATTTGTATATAGGCAAGAAATTCTAGTTGTACAATTACTCCCTATTTATTGTTTTGCTAACTTTTTGGAAGTGTTGTTTCTGATTATTCATTGTATTTTATGTATAAATTTTATTTGTTACATTGTACATACCAGTATTGTGTGTACATGGTGCATGTTCTTGCCAAGGAATAAAAATTTGAACTCCTCTAATGTTTCATCTTTTTATCAGTGTGGCTTTTTTCACATAACACAAGAACCAGGAGTCACCTGATTAAATTAATAGGCATCAGGTTTAAAACAAACATAAGGAAGTACTACTTCACACAGCACAGTCAGCCTGTAAAACTTGTTGCCATAGGATGTTGTGAAGGCCAAAAGTATAACTAGGTTCAAAAAAGAGTTTAGATAGGGTCATGCAGGATAGGCCCAACAATAGCCATTAGTCAAGATGTTCAGAGATGCAACCCCATGCGCCAGGTGTCCCTAAACCTCCAATTGGTAGAAGCTGGAACTGGATGGATCTCTGGAAATTGCCCTGTTCCGTTCATTTCCTCTAAAGCAGGGGTAGTCAATAGGTGGACCGCAGGCCAAGTCCTGATCGCCAGATGCTTTTGAACTGACCCTGAAATCTTTTTTACTTATTTTTTTTTTAAACGTTCTCAGGAATGTGGAGCCTAACTATACCTTGACCAAGAAATTTGGACCTCAACAAAAAATAGTTGACTACCCCTGCTCTAAAGCGTCTGACTCTGGCCACTGTCAGAAGACAAAACGCTGAGCTAGATGGACCATTAGTCTGACTCAGTATGGCTGTTCTTCTGTGCACACAACTTCTTACTACTCTGCATTGACTGATCCATGCAATGGTCATTAGAAGGACGGTAACTAAGATCAGCAATAGAGCTTTGAAATATGATAGCATTTAATTGCACTTCTGGAGCATCTTTCCTCCAAGGATCTCAAATGTTTTACTAGTCTTAACTAAGTCAGTCACCCCTGCGAGGGAAGTAAGCAATAAGGATCATAGGTTTTTAAGGTCAGAAGGGATCATCATGAGCACTGGTCTGATCAACATAAAATTTCACCCAGTGATTCTTGCTTCAAACCTAAAACTCCTGGTTGGGCTAGAGCTTTTTTTTTTAAAAAAAAAGACATCTTACCCACTACTGAAATGTGGCATGCTCTCGAGAGGAACCTAGCTGCTCTTAAATTGTGTAATGTTGTATGCAGTTGAGGAGCAGAAGTGAAGATTGTGTCCAATTTAAATTCAGGGGACTTTTAACTAGGAAGAATAGAATTACCTGCCCTAGAATTTGTCCAGAAACTAACATTTATTACATCTACTTTTAGCAAAAGTGTCATGAAATCTTTAATAACATGTGGTCAGACTATCTAGACTTTAGCCCGAAAGATAGCTCCTGCAGCTGTGTAAGGCCCCTACTTGCACCCTGGCATGACTCAGAGTCAAGTGCTACCTACTGAATTCCCACCACAACTTCATGCACCATCTTGGTGCTCTTGGGAAGTCTTCTATTTCACCACTAGGCTGGCTTCATGCTGCTTTTCTCCAAGATCTGACCATAGCACAAATACAATCTTCCACCTGTGTTGACTGCAGAAAGAGTAATTTGACCATTTAGAAATTTTAGCTTGTGCAGAATAGAGTTACCCCACCTTTGAAGTGGTGATTCTTGCTGGGCACACATTACCTCTGCTCTGTCAGCTGCACTGGCTGCCCATTCATTTCTTGATTCATAGATTAAAGGCAACACTTTCCGTATACAGGCCAGATTTTCAAAATTGATCCTTACCCAGCCAATCTATTGGAGGGGCAGCTGGGTTCTGAGCACTACTGAAAATCTATCCTTAAAGCTCTAAATGGATTCCAGCTGTTGTCCTTGGAGACCACTCTCTGATTGATTGGTATGGTAAATCCACCCCTTCTAGTAGCTTCACTGCCAGCATCCTCTGGAATAGTGTTCTCACCTCAGAAAATTCTTCCTTTCTCCCTTCAGACCATCCTGCTATCCCTTGCACTTGCTCACCTCCTATGCTGTAATGCCTATATGCCCTCCTGGGAAAGGGGGCGAGAGGCTAGAGTTGATGGCAGGTAGTCTTGTCCCCGTTTGTAGTAATTTGTGTTGTGATTGGATTAGGGGCCATTGGCCTATGCATTTTGTGTACACAACAACAAAAATAGTCCCTGCACGTAGAAGATGAGATGACAGATTGGGGAGCATTTTGAAACTGCTCTTGATTTCATGTTTTTAAAAATGTGCTCTTGGTGTTAATAACCACACTTGCATACTCTAAACAGTGTTGCGAGGCTGCTGCAAAATTAGCTGAGGTTTTTAGAAGTTAAGTTCCATTTCCTCTGCTGTAAGGAATGACTTATTGACACACACACACAATACTGTGTATTAGAGTGCTTTCCTTTCGCAGAAGAAAATCTTTCTTGGGCTATGTGCAGGCAATAGATAAAGGGTTTCGATAGATAACTGAGCAGTTCCATTGAGAATACTCTGACTCAGCTGATGTACCAGTTGAACCTTACTGGAGTACAGGGACTTTCCAAAGCTACTGCATGCTGTGTTTCATCAGAAATCTCCCACACTTTTTGCTGAAGTTAAGTGCAACCTGCTGCGTCAGGCATTTTGTTGGTAGAAAGACTTGAAACTAAACTCCTGCTCTGAATGCCACAGGAGTCTGGGGGTGTTCAGCTCAGACTTCTTGTTCTTGCCCCTTCTGGCCCTCTGGTCTTTCTCCTTTCTTGCCCTTTGTTGCTGCTGTCACAAACTCCTCTTTGAATTGTTGATAGTAGTAAAGTGGGGTGGTGATGGCGTGCGCTGCACTGAGTTGAGCACTCAAAAGAGGAAATCTGAGGTCTGCTGTATGAAGGACTCTGCAAAATCACCTGTGACCACCTCATGGCTCTAGAATTGATATTGCCCTTTGAAGCACGTAGCCAACGTCTATGTACTTCTGAGCCACTGGCTTGCTATTGCTGGCCTTAGGTTTATGCCATCCCTGTAGCTTGCTTGCAGAAGATCACGTTTCTGAACACCGGATTTGCAAAATAGACTCTATGAATATTCTATTCATGGCTTTAATGACTGCTTCCCACCATCCATTTGACTCTCACATGCTTTGGATTCTTTCTTGCCCTTTGCCAGCTGAAACCAAACATGGCTCCTTATCTTTCCTCCCAGGCTTAATTCCTCCTTTCTCCTTTGCTGTCATTAACACTGACCTCTTGTCGGAGTTATAGCTCTTTTTGGAGCATCTGGGCTAGCACCAATTCTCACTGCTCGCACCACACAATTGTCAAAATCTGATCCTCCTTTTCTGGGGTAACAGTAAAACTTGTCAGTCACTGTGCCTTGGTTCCCTCCCTCCTTGATTACTGAAACCATCTTCGTTGTAGTATTCAGCACTCCCTTCCTGGCCTAACAAAACGCAGCTGCTAAATTATCTTCACCCATTGCTCCTCCCACAACACACCCTCCTTCAATTCCTTCGCAGACTTGCCCTTGTCCACCATACCGAAATGAAACATCTGATCCTCATCTCGTCCTACTTTCCTTCTCCCTCTCCCAAGTTCATACCTTCCCTTCCTTCATTGGGCATGTAATAACCTTGCAATTCCAGTGTGAAAGAAACACTGTCCTCCCTCAGACCCCTAATAAAGCCCTACACACACATGTGCTTGTGTCTTTTGTGCTCCCATGTTGTGTGTGGTTGGTGAGCAGAGAAGAGGACAGAAGAAAAAATGCTTCATCTTTCTCCCAGCGCATTTTGGCTCTCTCACATTCCTGCTTTACATTGTACAATGCATGAGGCAGAGACTGTCTTTATAGCTGTGTCTTCTGAATAAACCAAGTACATTGCTGATGCTCTACAAATGGTTACCAACAAATGTCTCCTATAACACATCAGCAACATTGATCCAAAACCACTTTATTTTAAGGTTAATTATAAATAATCTTTATTAATAATAATAATACAATGCCACTGTACATTTGTGAACGGAAAATTTTATCTTCTAATTCTACTGTAGTTTTTCTTTCATTATCTTTTTGGAGAAATCTTTCAGATTCTCTAGAAAATGTTTCAACTTAATATTGTTGTCTGCCTTCACCGGACAGGGTACCTATAAAGGAAAGGTCATATCACAGATGTTAGTACAATTGCTGAGGTACTTAGTTTATGGTGGTGGTTTTAGCTGCTAACTGGTGGCAAGAACAAACACCTTTCTTGTGGTTAGACCTGCTCTGAGAAGGATTTTCTCACATAGTTTGTAGCCAAATGTGGCTTGAATGGTACAAAATTATGAAGTGTATGTGAATGTATGAATTACTCATCAGGATTTGCTTGAATCACCCATGACTTGGTGAAAAACGTCATGCAAGCAGCCAATCAGTAGAAAAACACTTGGTTGAGCTCTGTGTGAGGTTCCCTCAAAAGTGAAAAATGATGAATGTACTTCTAAAATGTATCCTATTTGAAAACACAGGATCATATTATTTCTAGTAGGGTAGTGCCTCGGAGTCCCAGTCATGGACCAGAATCCCCGTGTGCTAGGTGATGTATGTACAGAAGCAATTAGGCTTTTGTGGGGCCCCGGGAAAGTGCGGGGCCCTCCCCACCTCTTCTACCTGCATTCTCTCTCTCTCTCTCTCTCTCTCTCTTCCCCCTCCCTCTTCCCCTCCACCCTCCCGCTGACCGTGGTCGGGGTGTGGGGGCTTGCCCTGCTCTACCCGCTCTGTGCTCCTGCTGGGGAGTGGAGTCGGGGCACAGGCGCTTGCCCCGCCCCCTGGCAGGAGTGCCAGGCAGGCAGAATGGGGCGAGCCCCTGTGCCCTGACCCCGCTCCCTGACAGGAGCACTTGGCGGTGTGGGTCAGGGCACAGGAGCACACATTTTTCTAGGGGCCCCCCAATTGGCTGAGGCCCCTGGGCACGGGCCCTCTTGGCCCAGTGGTTAATCTACCACTGTGTACATACCCCAGCCAAAAAGCCTGGCTCTGATGCAAGGACATTACTCACCTTCTGAATTAGCTGTATTAAATTAACATAAATGCCTTCCAAGGGAAACTTGTAGGGATGGCAGTAACGGCCGTTTTCAACAACCGTTGCAGCTTTGCATAAAATATCAAATGTCTCCTTTTTCTAAAAGAAAGAGAAAAAAAAGTGTATTCCTTTTCTAGA